TGTGGTTAGCACTGCAGCCATAGCGGACTTCGTTGATTCGGTGGTGTGAATGTTTATTGCTCCTATGGTCGTAGTTTCAACTTGGTTGATTATTGAGCAAACATTTACCAGAATATCTCTTCGGCCACATTGGAACTACGATATAAGATTTGACTCTTTCTTCGCAAAACAATTGATCAAATCTCGCTAAGCCTAAGGTAATAAAAATTACGACAACCATATTTTTTTCAACTCGATTGTAAAGTTGTTCTGTCGTACCACTGAGTTGATTAGCTTGAGACAATGGCAATTCTTGAAACCACATTTTTCTTGAAAATCATTACTTTTTAAAACAGAAATTTGATTAGACTTGAAAAATTGAACATCATATTTCCTCATCATATCATATCCCCAACCCCTTCCTATGCCAGAGTAGTATGGAATGTCCCTAATGATAGATTTACTGGAAATTGAAATCAATTTTTCTCACTCAAAGATCGATCTGATCGATCAATTTTTCAGATCGGAGCTACTCTATAGACAATGATGTAGAATGCATCATGTGTTTGGATAATAATTAATGGGGAAAACAATCCGCTTCTGGCACAGGAAGGGGTTGGAAAATATTTATTCCGGTTTCTTCTGGTCCCCTTCCAAATGAACTCATGAATACTTTTGAAGGTAAGACTTTACTACACCCCAATTCAGATCTTCTGCAAATTTTTTCTGTAGATAGATCTCATTGAGTACTACCTACGTGTGCCAAAATTTTTTCACGGAAACTTATGTAGGTGGAGTTATACTCATTTAAAAACATAAAATCATTAAGGAGTCTATGGGACGTTTTAACTTCGCGAAAATCGATGTTCAGCGCTCTCATATTTTAACACTTTCATATTTAACAAAATGGCTCCATCTATTGGATTTTAGGTTTATCCTCAATCTTTTTCCATGGGAAATTAAATAACACATATTCACACAATCAATTTTAGGCAATCACATCTCGTCTTAGACTAGTGACATCTATTGGATTTATCTACCCGTTTTGTTAAAATATGAGAGGTCTGACTGTATAATGAAATTGGGAGGGGCTTAGTGAAATGAAATTTTTTCACATATAGAGTTGACTATGAACATCTTATAAAGCAACTTTTAGCTTAATTCGATACTAGCAAGGAATTCTGCTGAATTCGTAGGTAGTACTCAATGAGTACTATCTGCGTCTATCAACACTTTACGTAGTTATAAGTCAACCACCTGACCACCAACCACTAGTTATAAGTCAACACAAAGAACCAATTAGTTTGAGTAGATTAAACCTCGTACAGATACATATAAAAAGTTTCAAGGTCATCGAGGTTATTTCACGATAAACCTATCTAGAGGTCATTTGAAGTTTTTTTTGAAAAGAAGGACAAACAATTATTTATCTTTGAAATTTTGGTGTCAATATCAGTTCAAATACGGAGAAGATATGCACGAACAATGAGTTCATGGTCTAAACACAGTTCTATTTCCTCTCATCATGATTAATGCTGAAGAAATTTTGTTGTCTGATAGTATTAGCTCCCGGGCGTATGGACATTATAAAATTATAAGAGACTGTTAATTTTAGTTTTTTCGTTTTATCAATTTTTGTGTAAAGCTTAATTACAAGAGAACGGAGATAAGACTGCTTTTACCACTCTCTCCAAATTTTTGAAGATCGAAAAATAATAGATTGAATTCTCTGGACTGGTATGACTGGTATGAAGGAATTTCTCAAACCAATTAAACATTTTTTTACTCTTGAATTCATTAATCTCCTTTTATTTATTTTTTGCTTTTATTTTCTATTTTTAGTCATTGTTTTACTTTGATTTTCTTCATTAGTGTTGAGAAATCGATCCGTGAAAACAAGAGGTGAACTAATAGTATTTTTAGAATTGACTCATTAGTTTTATTCACTTGAATTGACTCATTACGCCTCGTTGGTTGGAATCAGAGAACATTCGATTAGAATATTTCCATTTCAAATACCCATATAATCGAGAAAGCAATTATAGATATTTCACTACTGATCCGTCTTTCTCTAAATTCGTGAAACTGAAGATACAAGCCCTTGGATTCTCTACCCTGAGAAATGAGAAGTAAACTGTTCGAGGAAATGAATCTCGCTAGACTGCCGGAAAAGGAACGAATTAATATTGGATATCGTCATTGCACCGCGTGTTATGGTAAAGATCACACGCGAGATCAGTGCAGAGTTTGCTCGTACTGTTAGGAACTGAGGCATATGAAAACAGTTTGCCCAGAAAATCCCATAAGGGATAAAACCATCATGACAATTGCGGGAATTCTTGAGGAATCGAATAGTGTTGAACGTAAATGTTTCACGGTCTACGAAGGTAAACAAACCTGTAAGTTCATCTTACTTTCGTTCACCTGGTACCATCATCACCATCGCTCAAACCACTTTTTCCCTCTTTCTCTTCCTTCTTTCTCGCTCACTCGTTCCTTTATCTTCACTCTCATCCTCCATTTTCCTTTTTTAAGCCAGTTGGCATTACGCTAAGCTCTTGTTTATTACATTTTTGGTTATTGTGCAACTTTGGTATTAATTAACAATTGTCCTATGTAAATTTCAATAAGTAAATTATCGTGAAAATCAAATTAAATACAAGTTTAACAAAAGTTATTTATCACCTTTTCTGTGTAATTGGTTTTCAACTTGAACAAAAGAAAGAAAGAAATAGAGTGAAAGAGAGAGGTTTTATCCTTTCACTGAGACAATTAACTTGCTCTTGGAAAGGGTTGGGTTGAAACTAAGGATGATTTTTCCGCTCTCTCTGGTTTTCATTTTATAGTCGAGGAAGAAAGAGAAGAAAGAGGATGAAACTTAATGGGTAAAAATGGTATCTGGTGATAGGATGAAAGAATAAATTGTTGAATAGTAGCATTGCATATTGCTAAATCGGTTTCTCTGTTGTTGATAGACTCTCGAATTATGGCCAAATCTTTAGCGCCAGAGAGACCAGATTCGTAAGAAATATCAGAAATCAACAGTTGGACTTCAGCTGGTTTTGCTTAACAACAAACGATTTTTTGTATCGCCATCTATAGAAAATAATTACAAACTTAACCCACAATTTGATGCAATAAGCGAACATTTACTGTAGTAAGAAAATAAATAAAAGAAGGTTGAGACAGAGTGAAAAGTAAGCAAAGACTTAACCTAATGTGACATTTGAACATCAAGATATACCTCAACCACATTGTCGTAATTGACGAGCTCTCGCAATACTTGGTTCATCAAAGTTATACACTTGGAATGATTCTTCGGATGATGTACACCACAAACTGGACACTTGTAACGGCGACTCGAATTCAAATAGGCCAAATTACCATAAGGCAGCACACCAAAGAAGATTGACAAGTATAACCAATAGGAAAACGAGATTTACATATCCAACATTGATATATTGAAATGTCATGGAAAAAGTAAAATGGTCTCTCCAAAATGGTTGTCTGCATACCTGCAAGAAAAATTATAGATTAAATAAAATATTAACCTCAATCACACATCACTTACTCCTTTTCAACATTATTTCCATGGCTTCCCGGGTTAATAAATTGTGCAAAGCATAATACATGCATCTACAAATAATTTTATATTATATCGGTAAAATTAATATTTAATGTAAGTAGTAATGAAACCTCCGCTTCCGGCTCATCCAGAAGCGCTAGTGGGGGAAAAATTTTGTGTAAAGTTTTTTTGATTGGAAAAATCGATTTTTTCTGAATAAAAATCAAAAAACCCGCCGTCACCACCTGTTGCTGAGCAACAATATTAAGCAAGATTTTTAGACACGTAATGTTTGTTTACCTTTTACTTCTAGTTAAAGTTTCTTTGTTTTTACATTCTAATTGTTTTTACATTCTATTTTATTTTACAATTTATAAATCAATAATTTCATCGCTTACCATTAAAATTTCTTTTCGCTTTCGGTAAGTTACTTAGTATTAAAGTATTGATCGTTATAAATTTTTTCTTTGCTTACTCCTTCAGCAATGATGTATGTTGGGTTTGAGTTCATTGAACTGTCTGGAACGTTCTAGAACATTCTTTGAACCCCACCCCTATTTCCGTTTCCGCTTCTGAGTCAGAAGCGGAGGTTTTCATACTACTATTGTAAACTAAAGTTTTCTAGTTTTCGAAAATTTCTTCAGATGACCTTGTGTGATATCTACATAATAAACTCAGTAACTTTGATCTTGAGATATGACAAACTTTCTTGTACGAAATGTGTTACATTGCGAGGTTATTATCGCAGACAGTTTAATGACTTTTGTTTAGTTCTAGAAGGTTCTTCATCCCCATTTAAGTTTCCACTATTGGCTTAGAAGCGGAGGTTTTCATACAACACCTAAAAATCTCGTTTAACTGAACAAATCATTATCGTTTCCGCTTTCCTTTTCTATCCGCTGATTTTCAATCTTTTGGCTCTGTTGATTTCTGCAATTAGTGGTTAAATAAATTTTTAAATTCTCTATCAAATTCAAATTGACCAGCAAAACTTTATCGCTTTTGGCTAAGAAAAAATAAGCATACAGAAGTGGCGGGTAGTTAAAACTATTAACTATTATTAATAAAACGCCCAGTATATGTAAATATCAATTGTCAATTAACAGAATGGTATAATTGATTTTGTCTCCTCAAATGTCAATTAAGCGAGTACTATTACTCTTTGCAATTAAGATTTAAGCATCGATATTGAGTTAAACCACCGGCTAATCAAATAATTGATCAACCAAAATCAAAATTAGCTAATTTGAGAAAGAAAGGAAAGTGTCGAAAAGATTAACTTATCTCCCATAAGAGATAAAGTATAAAGCACCAACTGAACAATAAAATGACAGTAACAATTAAATGGGAGTTCCAATCAAAGAAATCAGCTCAATAAGATAATTCAGTGATTCCTGGAAATTAATCGTTATTGCACAAGAAATATTGCTTACAAACTTGTACCATGTGTAAAATTAGTATTAATATATTGAGTTTTGAAACTGTTTTTATTAGTTGATTACCAACAATAAGTTGATTTAAAATGAGTTTAAAATTACTTTGGTCTCAATTGAGATCGATGTTCATCAAAGATCAACTCATCCGAAAACGACATTATATTATTACTCTATTTGAATTGTTTCTTCCTATTCTATTGGTTCTTATTCATATTAATACTTATACATCAGATTCTCAGACTGAACATTTCCGATCGGAAGGTTCAGTTTCATCTTTGACCGTTTCTGCTCCTGTTTATTTGGAAAATTCTGACTATTATTATGATCAAACTTTCATGTGCTACTCATTTGGTCAGTCATTTTTTTACACTTCTCCTGGTTCAGTGGTTGACCAGATTTGGGCTCCAGATTATCGGACTTGTGGCCTGCTAACGAAGTCATTTGATACAACAAAGGATGTGATTAAAGCCTGGGGTGACAAGATCACCAAGAAATCGTATTCTGCAAACGTTGCTCTTTTCTTTGATTCCTTTGATCTCGAAAAAGGTATTTCTAGCTACACTGTAAGTGGTCAAGCAATCGACTACAATGACCCATGGGATGAGCCTGTGTATGCGACTTATGATGATTATTTAAGGGCACAATCGATTGTGAATATTTTACTGGCTAATCATCCGAATGAACAAAAATTGACTTCAAAAGATTTCGCTTATTTTTATACCACTAAATTGTTCAATGAAGGTAATCCTCTATTACTCTTTAAAATAACCGATTCATCAACTAAATCGAGGAAAAGTGATCTTAATCATGGTACACAAAATTTAGGCAATTCTTTAAGATTTTATCAGGCTTATGTTTTACTTGAGATCGGATTTATTTACGTGTCTACTTTAATCGTCCGTCGGGTTGTCCGAGAAAAGAATACCAATTCAAAGGAGTTATTGAGGATCATGGGACTGACCGATCTTATTTATTGGTTCTCACATTTCATCAATTATTTTACTCTTTCCATTTTCCATGGAACAATAATTACGTCCATCTACTCAATTTCCAGTGATATAAACCCTTATCATGGTTGGAATCCAAGTCTATTCTGGTTCAACTACGTCACAAATAGTGCCACCAGAATCCTTTTCTCGTTTGCTCTGACTACTTTTCTTACACGTCCAATCATCGCTGTATTAATTGTTATCGTTGGTCAAGCAGGTTTAGCGTATTTACCTTCTGCTGCAGGAACAGCTACAAGAAATATTCTCTGGATTTCACCGAAAGTTTGGGCTAGTTTACTGCCCAGTGGTCAATTACACTACTCGATTTACGATATTTTCTATTTTGGTGAAATAAAGGATAAAGTCAAATGGTCACAAATATTTTCATCAATTGAAATTGACCAGTCCTTAAAACTTTGGTCCGTCTATTTGGTGGGAATCGTTTCATGGATCCTTTACATAGTGCTGGTTTGGTACCGCGATGCGATATGGCCTTGGCAAAGTGGAGCACCTAAACCTTGGCATTTTCGGATTTCTCGATTCTTTTCGTCTACAACAATGGATATCGAAATTGATTCGATAGCAATAACGAACAATGAAAATGATGAAACATCGAGTTCAAATAAAAATAATGAATGTGAACCAGAAAATTTAGGCTCAAGTATTCGATGTAACAACTTGTACAAATCATTTGGTTCTATGGGTTCGAAAAAGTTTGCTGTCAATGGAGTGAACGTTAATATTCTCAAAGGTCAAATAACTGTTCTCTTAGGTCACAATGGTGCTGGTAAAACGACCACAATGTCCATGATCACTGGAATATTAAAACCTTCGTCTGGTAACATTTATGTCAATGGAATTGATGTTCATAAGAATACGGTAGCTGCTCGTCGATGTCTCGCTTTGTGTCCTCAACATGATTTACTATTCGAAGATCTCACTGTTCGAGAGAATCTAGAGCTTTGTGGTGGACTTCGAGGATTAAGTCGACAGACTAAGAAAGAACTTATTCCATTGAACATGAAACGAGTAAATTTAACAGAAAAATCAAACACATTAGCAAGTAATTTATCGGGAGGAATGAGACGTCGTCTTCAATTGGCCTTGGCTCTTTCGACAGCATCAGAGATATTGATTCTCGAAGAGCCAACGTCAGGTTTAGATCCAGAGTCTCGAAGACAATTGTGGGATCTTTTGTTAGAACTGAGAAAAGACTTGACAATATTATTGACAACTCATTTTATGGAAGAAGCTGATGCATTGGGAGATCGTATAATTATCATGGGCTCAGGTAAAGTAAAATGTTCAGGATCATCGATGTTTCTTAAGAAACAGTTCGGAGCTGGATATTCAGTTCGACTGGCTAAAGATGCTTGGGCGTATAAACCCAATGAGCTAAGTTCTTTAGTGCAGAAATATTTCCAGGAAGCAAAAGTTACGAATGAGACAAATGCAGAAATCGTTTTTCAGCTGAATGATAAATCGTATCAAAAATCAATAACTGCGCTAATAGATCTTTGTGACACTCTCGACAATAACTTATCTTCTTTTGGCATAACTTCTTATAGTATTTCCGTGACAACACTCGAAGATGTTTTCCTCAAAGTCGCAGAGGATGAAGGTGAAAGTAAACAAACAACAATCTCAATGGAAGACAAATTGTTCGAAGTGAATAAGATACTTGATTATAAAAAGTTGACTGGATTATCATTGATGATGCAAAGATTAAGAGGATTAATAATGAAGCGCTTTCATTACACTAAACGACATTACAAGACGATCGGATTCACAATCATCTTACCTGCAATTGTATTTTTCTTTACATTTCTTGCTTCTCGAAATGCAATGAGTGTCGTTGGACGCGAGGGTCACGATTATTCTGATTCAATAACAATGGACTTGAAAAAGATTTATGGTCCAAACGCTAAGGCAGTAATTCGAGCATCATTAGCTGAACATTCGCCTTTTATTGATTCATACCGACAAATTATGAGCGAATCTGGAATTCAAGTGATCGAAATTGAATCATCCATTTCATTAGATGATTATTTTAAAACAAGTTCCCAAAGTCGTGAACAGTTCATGAGGGAAAATATCTTTGGAATTATTGAAGATTCATCGAAACCAAGAGGATTCGCTGCTTGGCTTAACCCGAAAGCGGCCTTATCTCTACCGTTGTCCATCAGTGCTTGGCAAAATGCGCTGATACGTAGTCTTGGTGATGGAAAACGGAATCAATCCAAAGTCTCAATAACTTACAAATCGATGCCGAATCGATATACTACTGAGCCTTATTACAAATCTGTTATAGCTAAAATTGTATCAGGTTTTTTCTCTCCAATTGCCTTTAGTCTAATCGCTGTCTCTTATTTCCTCTTCCCTTCAACTGAAGCTCAAAATAAGGTTTGTAACTTTCATATTGATATTAGATAATAAGAGATTAATTTACTTTTTCAATTAGTGTAATTTAATCCAAAAGATGAATGGTATAAGACCCTCAATGTTCTGGTCAAGTCATTATGCTTTTGATTTCTGTTATCATCTTATTGTAACAGTTGTTATCTTCATTTCGATTAGCATTGTTGATCAATTTCCATTTGTTGCATTCAAGGTTGTCGGTGAGTTAATTAATCCTTCAAATGTTTAAATTACCTTCTAATTATATCATTTCAATTCCTTAAACAATCAGCGTCCATCTTCGTATTATTGATACTTTTTGGTATTGCGTCGATTCCGTTGTTTTATTTATTCTCATTTCTGCCTTTGACAACTGATGGCGGATTCTCATTATTGGTATCGATTTCACTTATTGGTACTCTTGTCAGTTCAGGATTAGCAACATCTCTATCGATGTTCGACGAGGTGAAATCTCTTTATGTACTGCTTGGAGACTTATTCCCACCATTTGCAGCTTCTTTTGGACTATTGAAAATTTATTCTTCAACAACATTGGAGACTAATTGTGAAAAGATTGATGCTTGTCCTAATGGAAATCATGTGTCTATGCAATATTGTTGCAACGAAGATCTGAGTTACAAGCGATTTACTATTTTCACCATGAGTGATAGTGGAATTGGCACTGAAGTAATCATGCTTATAGTTGATACTGTTTTGTACACATTGGTATTGATCATTCTGGATATGAACTTGCATCGATTTGGATATTGGTACGAATCGATTCGTGCAAGATTATCATCAGATGGAAAATCCGAAAATGGTGTTGAAGATGAAGATGTAGTACGAGAAAGAGATTGAGTAAAACAATTGATTGGTTCAAATGGAATACGAAATGAAGCTTTAATTGTTGATGGTTTAACTAAAGATTTTGGTTCATTTCGAGCTGTTGATAGGATTACTTTCGGTGTACATAAAGCAGAGTGTTTTGGTTTGTTGGGTGTTAATGGTGCAGGTAAAACAACAACATTCCGAATGTTAACTGGAGATATTATGGTTACTTCGGGAGATGGTTATGTGGGAGGATATTCATTGCGAAAAGATTTACTCAATTTCCAACAATCAATAAGTTATTGTCCACAATTTGATGCGCTACTTGACAATTTAACTCCAGTGGAAAGTTTAATGTTATTTGCACGAATCAGGGGAATGCCTGAAAGTAAAGTAAAGGATAATGTAAATTATATAATTGAATCAACTGATTTAACTTCATTCGCCAACACATGTAATCAGAATCTAAGTGGTGGTAATAAGAGGAAATTATCATTGGCCATTGCATCTATTGCTAAACCAGAGGTGATTTTCTTGGATGAACCAACCACAGGTGTAGATCCAGCATCGAGACGGAAAATATGGTCCACATTGATTCATCTTCGTGATACAAGTGGATCATCAATTGTACTAACCAGTCACTCTATGGATGAATGTGAAGCCTTATGTTCACGAATCGGTATAATGGCTCGAGGCAATTTCAAGTGTCTTGGTTCATCTCAACATTTAAAAGAAAAGTTTGGACTTGGATTTACATTGATAATTAAAATGACTCAATCCAATCAATCGGTCCAAACCAATCAACAATCCAATCAACAACCTAATCAATCGGTCCAATCCAATCAACAATTGGATAAAATTAAAAGATGGATGGTCGAGAAATTCCCTTCGTCCATTTTGAGAGATGTTCATCAAACTATTCTTCATTATCATATAACGGACACTTCACTTCGTTGGGGTGAAATGTTGAGGTGTTTAGATGAAGCAAAACGATTATTGCCCATTGAAGATTTTACTTTAACTGGAACAACATTAGAACAAATTTTCTTATCATTTGCTAAGCAAACTTAACTTTAATTATTCTCATTACAGTTTCATTCATTAACATCAATTATCATTTTTTTAAAATCTATTTAATCAATAAACATTTAAGATTCACTAAGATCAATTATATTTCATATCAGTCAGTTATCATTTATCTCTCACACTACGAGCTTCTTTAAGTAACAATCAACTAAATATGAAAATCATTTTATATTACATTGTACATTGTATATCGGTAAATTAGTATTTATGTAAATTTTTTTTCTAGTTTTCGAAAATTTCTTCAAATGACGTTTAATTGTGATATATGCATAATAATCTCTGTGACCATGACCTTGAAAGATGGTAGTCAAAGCTAGTGAAATTGGACGTAGGTGACCATATCTTCATTTTCAGGTAAGATCGAACTGCATTACCTGCTCCCATTTTCCATTTAAATGATACACCCTTTATTTCTTAGAATTTTCGTAATAACTTTTATCTACCTTTCAAAAAGCATTACATTTAATCGTGAAATTGATAACATTAATCTCTTGTATCTATTATTAATACAATCCTTATTAATACTTTAACCTTATCTGTTGATTGCTGATCAATTTGATAGTATTAATAAAAACCAAGCAACGGTTAATTAAATATCTACTTGATTTAATAACCATGAATAATTTTCCGTAGTAAAAATAGCAATGATTAGATTGTACAATTAAATTATCTTAGTTTTTGTTCAATCATCTTCTCTCATTAATTGATTTCATTGTAACAATCAATCTTTTTTTTTATTAACCAGTTTGTGTTGTGATTTATTAATTTATTGGTCTAGTCAATTTCACCGAGAGTAAATGAATAATGAACATAAATTTTCGTGAACTTTGCTATTGAATCTTAAATAAGTGATTTCATACAATAGAGCTGTAAGTTGATTGTGATAATTACAAGCTTTGAAAGGTTTTATTTAAAAATGAGATCGTTACATTGGGAACAATTTAAATCTATGTACAAAAAGGATTGGCTCATACGAAGGCGACATTATATTGTTACATTTTTCGAGCTTTTTTTACCAATCGCTTTGATCGGTGTTCATCTTTACTCATTACCCGATCCTGATCAATCACCATACCCAAAGTCTTTCGATTCATCGTCATATTTAAGTGAATCGAGTGCTTCTCAAACGACGAATAAATTATCTGCCCCAAGACGATTAAGTGCTAATAAAAATGACGATTATTACTATTCTAATACATTTTATTGTTCTATCGATGGAACATCAATTTTCTACACCTTACCTGATGAATCTACACCTGATTTTATCCGATTAACGCAACAAAAATGTGGAGTCGAAACGTTTCCTTTGGCTGGAGATAAGGAAGTGATCAAAGCTTGGGGAAATGCAATGAAATATGAATACTTCTCACAAGAAAATGGTCTTTTTTTTCACGAACTTGACCCAGTTTTGGGTAAAGCCAATTACTCGATTGGTGGTAAATCTCTTGATTATTCTGGTCCATGGATTGATATTGAATATGTGCCATTTCAAGATTATATTGGTGTACAATCGCTTATCAATCAATTGTTAGCCTTCTATCCCGACTACTCAAAGTTGGTTAGAACTGATTTAACTTACGATTATACCGCTAAACTTTTTCAAGAGGGTAATCCTAAATCAGGTAGCATAATGATCGATACCCAATCTGATGATGAAATGAAATCAATTTCACCAGTACAAGCTACTGATTTCTATCAAGGTTACACTTTTATTGAGGTTGGTTTTCTTTATCTATCAACTATAATAACCCGACGAGTGCTTCGAGAAAAAGTAACCAATTCGAAGGAGTTACTACGAATCATGGGTCTTAGTGATCTCATTTATTGGGCCTCACATTTGATTAATTATTTTACTCTAAGTGTCTTCCATGGATCGATAATAACACTCATATATTCTGTATCAAGTAAAAATCCATACCCTGGTTGGAATGCTGGTATTTTCTGGTTCAATTATCTAATCAACAGTGTCACCAATATTCTGTTCTCATTTACCTTTACAACGATACTCTCTCGTCCTGTTGTCGGTGTTTTAATTGTTCTCGTTGGTCGAACAGCTTTGGCTTATGTACCTTTCGCTGCGAAAACAGCTTCATTGTCTGTGTCATGGTTATCACCTAAGGTACTCTCTTGTTTACTTCCGAGTGGCCAGTTACATTTCTCGATTTATGATATGTTTTACTTTGGTGAAGTTGAGAAAAAAGTATCTTTCTCACAGATCTTCAAGTCTATTGATGTTTCTGATACAATTAGTTTTGGTACCATCTATCTCGTTACTCTATTTTCTTGGATATTGTACATTTTACTCCTCTATTATCTAGATTCAGTGTGGCCATGGCAAACTGGTACCCCAAAGCCATGGCATTTTCCTATCTCACAATTTTTATCAAGAAAAGGGGAAGATAATTCAATCGGTGGATCAGCGTTTGATATGAATGAATTACAACAAGATTCTAATCAAAACAAAATAATTAGTAATAATGAGCCAGTACCAGAAAATTTGAAACCAAGTATTCAGTGTAACAACTTGTACAAATCATTTGGTTCTATGGGTTCGAAAAAGTTTGCCGTCAATGGAGTGAATGTTAATATTCTCAAAGGTCAAATAACTGTTCTCTTAGGTCACAATGGTGCTGGTAAAACGACCACAATGTCCATGATCACTGGAATATTAAAACCTTCGTCTGGTAACATTTATGTCAATGGAATTGATGTTCATAAGAATACGGTAGCTGCTCGTCGATGTCTCGCTTTGTGTCCTCAACATGATTTACTATTCGAAGATCTCACTGTTCGAGAGAATCTAGAGCTTTGTGGTGGACTTCGAGGATTAAGTCGACAGACTAAGAAAGAACTTATTCCATTGAACATGAAACGAGTAAATTTAACAGAAAAATCAAACACATTAGCAAGTAATTTATCGGGAGGAATGAGACGTCGTCTTCAATTGGCCTTGGCTCTTTCGACGGCATCAGAGATATTGATTCTCGATGAACCAACGTCAGGTTTAGATCCAGAGTCTCGGAGACAATTGTGGGATCTTTTGTTAGAACTGAGAAAAGACTTGACAATATTATTGACAACTCATTTTATGGAAGAAGCTGATGCATTGGGAGATCGTATAATTATCATGGGCTCAGGAAAAGTAAAATGTTCAGGATCATCGATGTTTCTTAAGAAACAGTTCGGAGCCGGATATTCAGTTCGTCTGGCTAAAGATACATGGTCATATGAACCTAGTAGATTATCAAATCAAATAAGGTTCGTTTTTTCTGATGCACAAATAACCAACGAAACCAGTGAAGAAGTGATCTACCAGCTTAATAATAGATCCGATCAAGGGTCGACTTCAGATTTAGCAGAACTTTGTGATACTCTTGACAAGAATCAAACCTCATTAGGTATCACTTCCTATGGAATATCGGTAACAACACTTGAGGATGTTTTTCTCAAGGTCGCTGAAGATGAAAGTAATCAAACAATAATAACAATGGAAGACAAATTGTTTGAAGTTAATAAAATTCTTGATTATCAAAGATTAACTGGATCCAGATTGTTTGCTCAACGTATCAGAGGATTAGTTATGAAAAGATTTCATTACACAAGAAGACACTTTAAGACAATTGGATTCACTATAATTCTTCCAGCCTTGGTTATGATTTTCACTTTTCTTGCCTCTCGAAATGCAATGGGATATGTTGATAAATCTTACAGGGATTATCCTTATCCCATCGAGATTAGTGCCAAACAAATCTATGGTCCTGATGTGAAAGCAGTAATTCGAGCATCATTTACTAATGAAAAAAATCAGCAGTTTATTGATGGATATCGAGAATCAATGAAAAGTTTGGGTATCCAAGTGGTTGATATAAATTCATCATTAACTATTGCTGACTTTTTATTGGCAACATCGCAAAATGCTGATCAATTTATGAAAGATCATATATTCGGTATTATTGAGAAAGATCCATCGGACACTCATTCCTATTCAAAGTCAGCATTTAGTTTATGGTACAATCCAAAAGCTTCATTATCGTTGCCGTTGACGGTTGATGCTTATACAAATACTTTGCTAAGAGTGAAAAGACCTGAGCTAAAGTCACCTTCGTTGTACACAACATACATGCCGATGCCAAATCGTCAAACATCACAGCCCAAATATAAATCAATTGTCGCTCGAATTTTGTCAGCTCTTTTTAGTCCCGTTGCTTTTTGTCTCATCGCTGTTTCATATTTCCTATTCCCTTCAACAGAATCTCAAAATAAGGTCAGTTTACAAATGAATATCATTTTTTGTCTGAAAACTAATGATAAACTAATTCTGATTGTTTCCACAGGCAAATTTAATTCAGAAAATGAGTGGAATCAAAGCTCCAGTATTTTGGTTTAGTCATTACATTTTCGATCTAAGTTATCACATGATAATATTTCTAGTCGTATTTATATCAATTATCATCATCGATCAATTTCTTTTCATAAGTTTTAAAACTTTCGGTAAGTTTTCACAACTCTTTCCTACTTTTTATCGATTTATCTGAACAATGTCAACCTAATAATATTATTTTCATTGTACATTTAGTTTGCTTCGTGATACTTTTCATATTATATGGATTGGCATCGATTCCATTGTTCTATCTATTCTCATTTTTACCTGTGGCTCCTGATAGTGGATTCTCATTACTAGCAAATATCTCACTTGCTAGTACTCTTATTGGTTCGGGATTAGCTGCGAGTCTTGTGGCTTTTGGACAATTGAAATCGATTCACGTCTTTATTGGTAACTTATTCCTCCATTTGCAATGTCATTTGGATTGTCCAAAATCTATGGGTCGATTAAATTGTTCACTGAATGTAAAAAGATCAATGCTTGTCCGGACGGGAACATATTTGCTCGTGATATTTGTTGTGCAAACAATGCAACTTACATACCATATGAACCTTTTGCATGGAAAAATGATGGAATTTATCCGGAAATAGTGATGCTTATTGTTGACACTATTTTGTACACATTGGTATTGATAATTCTGGATATGAACTTACATCGACTTGGATATTGGTACGAATCGATTCGTGCAAGATTATCATCAGATGGAAAATCCGAAAATGGTGTTGAAGATGAAGATGTAGTACGAGAGAGAGATCGAGTAAAACAATTGATTGGTTCAAATGGAATACGAAATGAAGCTTTAATTGTTGATGGTTTAACTAAAGATTTTGGTTCATTTCGAGCTGTTGATAGGATTACTTTCGGTGTACATAAAGCAGAGTGTTTTGGTTTGTTGGGTGTTAATGGTGCAGGTAAAACAACAACATTCCGAATGTTAACTGGAGATATTATGGTTACTTCAGGAGATGGTTATGGGAGGATATTCATTGCGAAAAGATTTACTCAATTTCCAACAATCAATAAGTTATTGTCCACAATTTGATGCGCTACTTGACAATTTAACTCCAGTGGAAAGTTTAATGTTATTTGCACGAATCAGGGGAATGCCTGAAAGTAAAGTAAAGGATAATGTAAATTATATAATTGAATCAACTGATTTAACTTCATTCGCCAACACATGTAATCAGAATCTAAGTGGTGGTAATAAGAGGAAATTATCATTGGCCATTGCATCTATTGCTAAACCAGAGGTGATTTTCTTGGATGAACCAACCACCGGTGTAGATCCAGCATCGAGACGGAAAATATGGTCCACATTGATTCATCTTCGTGATACAAGTGGATCATCAATTGTACTAACCAGTCACTCTATGGATGAATGTGAAGCCTTATGTTCACGAATCGGTATAATGGCTCGAGGCAATTTCAAGTGTCTTGGTTCATCTCAACATTTAAAAGAAAAGTTTGGACTTGGATTTACATTGATAATTAAAATGACTCAATCCAATCAACAATCTAATCAATCGGTCCAATCCAATCAACAATTGGATAAAATTAAAAGATGGATGGTCGAGAAATTCCCTTCGTCCATTTTGAGAGATGTTCATCAAACTATTCTTCATTATCATATAACGGACACTTCACTTCGTTGGGGTGAAATGTTGAGGTGTTTAGATGAAGCAAAACGATTATTGCCCATTGAAGATTTTACTTTAACTGGAACAACATTAGAACAAATTTTCTTATCATTTGCTAAACAAACTTAACATTAATTATTCTCATTACAGTTTCATTCATTAACATCAATTATCATTTTTTTAAAATCTATTTAATCAATAAACATTTAAGATTCACTAAGATCAATCATATTCCATCGCAATGAGTTATTCTGATAATTTTATAAAGTTAAAAATCTCATTTAATCAAGTATTATGATTACTGTCTCGAAACAAACTAATCAGCTTTTTAAATGCTAAAAAGAGTCGACAAAGTAAGAAGAAATTAAAAAACCGAAAGAGACTTTATTATCCTCTAGCCTTTTCTAAATTCAACTAATAATATTTTAATTGTGCAAAACATAATTAATTCAACAATTAATATTATTTCACACTGCGTACTTTTAATTAACAATTAATTAGGTCTACAAATCATTTTATATTACATCGGTAAAATTAATATTTAATGTGAACAAAGGTTTTCTAGTTTTCTTCAAATGACCTTGTGTGATATTTACATAATAAACTCACAAACTTGTCAGTAAACTTGATCTTCAAAATATGGCAGACTTCCATTTACGAAATGTGTTACATTGCGAGGTTATTATCGCAGACAGTTTAATCACAATATAATCAATAATTTTTCTAATGCTGTCACGGCAAGGCGGACAACTATATTTTTTTAATACAATCAATTCTTATCTGCATCTCTTTTTTAATCAATTTTCAAAAAGATCTTCAAGTTTAAGGTAATCTTCGTTTTCCACTTTTTGATTCGCATAGTTTCGAGCCACTGTAATTCGACATCAAAAACATAAAGATACATTACTTTACTCGTAACCTGTTTCAGCTTAATTTTACTGAAGGATGTTACGAATAACAAGTGACGCATCTCTAGTAATGGCTAGTTGCTAAAAACTAGTTATTTTTTGCCAAGAATAAAGTATTGGCTAACAATTTCAAGTGTGAATAATGAATTGTGATACGAGAATTTTATGTTTTGTTTTAATAAATTAGAGCTTGTTGTTTGATTATCGATGTTTGAAAAACTAGTCGATTACTAGTTACATTTGAAATCTAATTTTCAATTAATGCATAAAACAAAAACATTCCATTTCGGAAATTTTCATATTTTCTCATGGGTTCATATACATTTTGATTGTTGACTTCTTTAAATCCGTTCTCAGTCTTTATTATGGCAAATACATGCGCTCCCACAACAGTAGTAGTTATAGAACCTCCGCTTCTGAGCCACTCAAAAAGCGGAAGTGGGGCAAGAATTAGCCAGAAACTGAAAGGGGGAAAATAATAAATGAATAATAATACCAATTGAAATTCCCGCTCTTTTAATATCGATGATACTGGATTCACTTTTTCATGAAGATTTTTGTTGACATTTTTTTATCTCTCATTCATCGCGTGATTTTTTCTTTTCTGCTGAAATCTTTGTTTAATTGCATTTGTTCATTATAATAATGTATTTTTTTAAATTATCAATCATTTATTTGTTCATTCTGGGTGAGAATTTTATTAGAAAGTTTTTTATACTAAAACTAATTTTGTATCATTTTTCATAAATTTAAGCTATGGTTTATGAAGACAACCTTGATTCATCAACCATGGAAGATAACACAAATAACCTTCAAAGAGACCCTGGTGAGTTGCTTTAACCAAAACATAGGCTATTTTAAATCATTTTTATTGTCAGAATTGACAAGGTTTATACAAATTGATGATTTATTGATGGAATGGGGTGACCCTCATTAATAGAAAAAAAACCACGTACCCATTTTTGATTGAAAAACACAATTAAAACTCCTATACAAAAATTTTCTCAACAATCTGAATGATAGCGTAGTGGTAAGACATTTACTTTGTGTATGCAAGGGTATACGTTCAAATCACGGTTGTGACATTTTTTTTGCAATAGAGCATTGCTAGGGTTATAAACATTAATTATGAAAATTTTTCTGCATTAGACATTGGTCAACAAAACGAGAACTCTCAAACAGCTGAACCGGAACCTAACCACGGAAACGACGATGAAAGTGCTGAACTCGAAGCAATCAGAGAGCAGGAGAACCGTCTTAATTTGATGAAAGAGGCTCGTCAAGCGAGATTAGAGAAGAGAATCACAGCTCCATCGAATATTGAAACTGCTTCTAATGGTGAGTTTTAAGGATGCACTTAGATGATTGTTAGAATGAGTAACAATAGATTATGTTGAACTCATCAGCGAAAGATGATATGGGTGTCAAATGATGACTACTAGTAATAGTATTGATAGTTATGAATTTCATCTCAATCAGATTTGGTAAATAGGTTTTATGACAATAGAACCTTTACCTTAACTTATTGATGAAGCAATAATAGATTATGTTCAACTCATCAGCGAAAGATGATTAGGGTGTCAAATGATGACTACTAGTGATAGTATTGATAGTTATGAATTTCATCTCAATCAGATTTGGTAATTAAGTTTCTCATCATTTCTCATTTTCGATAGAATCCGAGAGTTCAGACCATTTGACAATCAATACGTCTACTGCAAGCCCAAACGATGGTGCTGATCTAAATAATGTTCAAGCTTCAACATCATCAACTGTTAATCACAATAACAATCAACTGATCTGATCGAAGGAACGACCTCTAGGAGCTTAAGACCAAGGACTGCACATAAATTACATTTTGGGACAATTCATAAGTAATTATTATTTACTCATCATTTTGTTTTTCTGTTTTTTTCTTTTCAGGTGCCCTACAAGGTTAACACCTCCACGTGGTGTAGGGCGGATGCTTACTTTAAGCAACTAAGTTAACCAATTTTATCTTTAAACTTATCAATAAATTATTACTTTAAGTACTCAAGATTATCCCCAGGATAATATTTTTAATTCATTGCTAGCCCCCAGGTTATAATCATGATCCATATTAATGGTATTAAGATGTTGCAATTGGTTTAATTATCCCCTAAGGATAGGATTAATGGATTATCTTAAAAAGAGTTTCAATGTATATAATTTATATGCTCCGGGCAAAGATTGATGATAAAGATAAGTTGTTTAAATTGAATAAAAAGAAGACTGCTTTAATCGTTATCCTTCACTTTGATATTATCCTTATCTTGTGAACCTTCAACGTATATTAAAGCTTTGAAATGGTGAGTTTTTTTCTTTTACTCTTTTTAACCTCATTTTTATAAATATCATTTTTCTTTTTCTTTTTTCTTTTCTTAGGACTTCTCGTATAAAACAGTGAATTTAAACGACGATACTTTCTGGAAAATTCTTTTTCAAATAAGGAAAGCCGTTGTTCGCTATAATCATATTGATTTACATGCAATGCACCGGTCCTTTGTATCATACTACGATTCCATAAAAACACTGGAATTAAAACTTCAAACCAACGGAAAGGACGAATGGCAAAACCTATGGTTAAAAACAGAAATAGATTATTATAAAGAACAGCTGTGGGATGATTTTATTCTCATTAAAAAATGTGTATTTTTTTAGAGTCAGCAAATTGAATTAATTAATATTAAATAAATAAAGATTGGATTGATTTTATTGTCAAATATTTTATTTCACAATCGCGGCATCCTTGAGTTATAGTGAAAAAACCTTCAAAAAAGATATAAAAGAAAAAATAAGTCAAAGAAAAATATCAGAGCAAGTTTATACCTTTAAAAGTACGTTTTAATTCATAATTAACAAATAATGGTAAGTTTATCATTCTTTTCTGCTATAAATTTAAATAATCTTTACTTTACTAATTCAACAACATTATTTTTACCTATTTCAGGAAAACATCGAAAACGTTCCGGTTATGACCGATTTGAAGTTTTGGCTACTTCTTCATACAATGAAAAAAGCAGCTGATGAGTGGTTGACCGAGAAAAAAAACAATTTATAAATGATTATGCTACGATATTTGGTCACAAAAAACTATTAGAAATTGAAATGCGATTCAATGGACGATCAGAATGGGAGAATATGTGGATCAAATCCGAAATTAATTATCTTGATTATCTTTTGTATATTGGATTCAAAAAGTTCGAACGTAAATATATAAAAGAAAACATAAATCGTTACCACCCAGATATACCTAATCATATCTAAATCTGATTTGTACCCAGAATGCAATACCTTTTTGTTTTTCATTAAAAAGTTTTCTCTTTCACTTTTATTTGTACTCTCTTTTAAACTCGATAACGTTTGCAAAAACCAGATAAATAGATTTTCCTTCTTAGGTTTGCTCCAATTGCTAATCATGTTTAGTGATGAAAGTTACCTTGAGTTTGTGAAACAAAGTTTAGAAGATGAAGAAAAAAATCGTCATCCCCATGATATCTTTCGATTTGAAAATCCATGTTGGGGATAAAAGAATTTGATCTTTTTCCTCTGATCAATCGTGCCTGTCCGCCTAAATTTAGACCTAAAATGAGGGTAATTTCATCTCCATATGGTATGTTTTATCATTTATTCAAATTAAGTTTTTAACATTTCTATTTAGTTAATTTCAATTCAATAACGATTGGCAGTGGCAATGGATGTGCGTTTACTGTGGCTTATGTTTTTCAAAAATTCGAAATATAATGTTACATGTTGTTGGTGTTGACATTGGTGGTGATCGTCAACCTCGTAAACCAGGATGTATGGAACGTATCAAGCGTGAGGATTTGAAAAACCATGGATGGCATATTGAGCCTAAAATTAGACGTTATTTCGAGCCGATTAATCTAATCCCATCACTTAAAAATTATTGTTATTCAAAAGAGATGAATTATCAATTTGTTAAATATGCCTTTTCTCTTGAGATCGCTTTTTTCAACGCAAAGAAATACGAAGCCTCGTTCACCACTAAACAAATCGATTACTGTTTTAGTACTTGGAATAGTAATGTCGAAGAGGTAACTCAATATTATCATTCAATTCGAGGATATTTTAGACCGGAGATTATCGTTAATCATAAGAAACATAAATCACCGCGAGAAAAACTTGCTGAAGTTAAGCTCCGCCTCAAATTAAATGATGCACGGTGAGTGGTTATAATTCAAATTGTTAAATTTAACGGTCAAGGATGATATAAAATCCGAGATCTTGAAAGTTTTTTCTCATTCATGTTTCATTATTTCTAGTGTTTGGGGATCTAATTGTAAGCTAACTGTACCAGAAAAATGGAATTATCTCATGAAGTAAGTTTATCTTTTCTATCTAAATTGATTTTAATATTTAATTTTTTTGTTTTAGTTTGACAAATTATGAATAGATACAACTTAGATAACTATTCTTTTGATCCTAGGTTATTCTATTTCATCTTCATTACTATTTAAGTGATATTATTTGCATTGAAAGTTTAGTACTGTGTGTTTAAATAAAGTGTTTAAATATTGAGTTAGTGATCTGCAAAGTTTTATCAGTGAAAGATTTTCATAGTTCTTGAAATCGTGTTTTAAAATATGAGTGATTATCGATATACAACCAGACAAAAGTCCTTTATGGCTCTAGAGTATTATGTGGCCAAAAACTACAACGAAGTTCGACGTAAATATGAACAACAGTAAAAACAAAGGGTTTACCATCAAATGGGGTCATCAAAAGAGCTTTGGATAATATGTTTGCTTACGGTTCTGTTTAATCTTGTCTTAAAGGTAATTTTGGTCAAAAATTACTGATATCACTGATGAAAATGTGTCCACGTGTTTGAAATTCTGAATAATGCCTTTCAAAATCGCGTAATCGCAAAAGGCTATCAAGAAGCTCAAAATCAAGGTATGGAGTTGGAGATTGAAAACAGAATATTCCCAAAGGACACGAGTAAACAGTTAGAAGCTCTTTTGTAGCCATATTGTATAGAGTCGAACTGAATCATCGAAGGAGGTCCAACTTACAATTTTTAGTCTTCAGCATCTTTATCAATACACTCTCCATTGTAATTTTAATTTTCCCATAGAATATATGTGAAATTCCCCTTTTAAAATGCTGTATCTCCAGCAGTATTGATCTGCACTTGAACTTTTCACATATATTTTTGGAATTGTCATAAAAAACTGTATATACCTTGAAGTGGTCATGCCCCTACGCGAATGATAAGTGATAATTTTAATTACTAATAATTGAATTCAATTGGTGATTCTATTTTAAAATGCATAATATACATGGTGTTTTGTTCTAATTCAATGGTGACCAACGGACGTGATTTGCATCCAATTGTTTGAGATGAAATCTCAATTTAAAAACGTGTTCTAATGTTGTTCGTTACAGATTTCTACTAGTTTTAATTATATACATCGATTGTATGTCTTAACCATCTATCTTTTTTCGGTTTTGTTCTAATCGAGATTAGATAAAGTGATTTTGCTTACTTATTATTACTCATATTATCTTACTTTGTATTTCATTATCTAACACGCAATTTTCTTGTTCAATTGGTTATTTTATTCAGTTTATACGTTTAATGGAAATTTTGCAATGAATGTTGGATTATACAGGGCAATTCAGCTAACTTGTTGGTTTTCTTTTCACGATTACCCCAAAACTACTTGGCCGATAGGGTCCATATTTCATCTATGGAAGTTTGACCGATACTCAATTGTCATATTTCAAGTTCAAGGTCATAAAGGTTATCCATGAAGGAACGCACTTGAAGGTCATTTGAAGAACTTTTTGAAAACTAGAAATTTTTTTAAGTCTGGTTATGAAGTTAAAAAATAAAAATATCACAGAGCACGCCGGTATTGCGCTAAAACAAAATCAGTTACTTTAGATAACTTTTTACAGAAAGTAAATTGAATCAGACCTTACAGTACAGGACACAGAGTACACTTAGAGTACAGGAATGATAAAACATCACAGGTAGGCTTAAAAAATTTCAAATTTGTTCCCATCCTTTCAATAAACAAGTTTAGCTTGACACTGATGAATCAAGCAAATTATATAATCGCTTCATTTAGTGCTTTGGATTGTTCGTCATTTGGTTCATAAATCGATTGGTTTTGGCTCACAATTTGTGTTTCTTTTGTTGAAACAAAAAAAATTTTGAATCGCTGAAATATTGATAATTTATCTTGGTTCACGTTCAACAATTCAACATTGAGCGACCTAATTAGTGGTTCGAATCGTGATCCGCTTGTCTTCGTGGTGATCTATTTGTCGAAACGATTGAGTAACCTAGTTATTAGTTACAAAGTTGTGCTTCTTTTGGTGGATCAATTAGACAATTTGATCTGGTAAACTAGTTATTGTTTATCATTTCGTTCAACATTCGGTTAAATTTTTTCGATAATTTAGTTATTAATTATCATCTTCCTCATGCAGTAAAATTTCGCTCAACATTCGTTACAGTTTAATTTGTCGTATTGGTAATTAATTCGTGGAAATAGTTGAGTAGCCTAGTTATTGGTTACAATTGTGCATCATTTCGCTTACCAATTCGTTTGATAAACTAGTTATTGTTCATCAACTGCGTCAATTGGTAAATTTTGTTCAACAATTCGTTAAATTTGATTGGCAAACTAGTTATTGTTTATCAACTTTGTCAATTGGTAAATTTTGTTAAATTTGATTGTCTAATTTGGGGTGCTTTTGTTTATTTTGTTTTATACTCATTGATTCGATTGTCCCTTGTCCTAAGAATCTGTGAAACTTTTGGTCTTTGGTTAATTGAGTTAACCATTCGTTTCAAGATTTGTTGGTTCGTTTTGTTTGGATTTAATAGTCAATTTGTTGTGAAAAATTGTCATAACAGAAATTATTGTATTTGATTCTTTGGATAATCTAGTTATTGATTATCATTGAGTTATAATTTGTTATTTTGATAATTTGTCGTTCAAGTAGCTGATTCGATTGTCCGTTGTTGCAGGATCTATGAAACTTTTGTCTTTTTGGTTAATTGAGTTAGCCGTTTATTTCAAGATTGCTGGTTCGTTTGTGTTGGATTTAATAGTCAGTCTACATTGAACAAAAGATTCTTAACTATGACGAGCCGATATTTCGACGATACTTTGTTAAACAATATTAAAAACTTTGATGGAAATAATGCTGATGTCTATGATTGGCTTGACAATTTTGAACAAGTAACTGAAGCCGCTGGCTTAAATAATATTGATAAATTAAGACGAGTACCTGTTTATTTGATTGGCCCCGCTAAATTGGTATGCTGGTAGTATAAGAAGTAAACCTGTTGATCAACCACCAGCTTCTTTCAATGATTTGAAAGCTAAATTACTCGCAGCTTTCAAACAACCTTCGTTACACAAAGATGAATTACGCTCGAAAATTGAAAATAAAAAGCAACACGTCAAGGTCAAGTCGTTAAATCTTATTTCTTTGAAATGGTTGGCCTGTGTGCTAAACTTGATCTAAATATGGATCTCGATGATAAAAAAGATATATTAAAAATGGATTCCTCCCTGGTATTTAAAGTATATCGCATTGGTAAAGGTTAATTCAAGGATTCAAGGATTATGCCGTGGAAGCTGAATATTATTATCATAAGAATAAATTTAATCAATAACTATTAAACTGGGTATTTGGTTTGGTGGGGAATTTTAATTTAAAATTTTGAATTTACAGGGCTATTCAGCTATTTTCGCTGATGTTTTTTGAGATTTTCTCAGCAAGTAAGAGTCAAAGAGCCTCGAGACTTGAGTGGTATCAGTTGGAGCGATACTCAATTGTCATATCAAAAGATCAAGGACATTAAGGTCACTGGTAAATTAACGCGTTTCAAGGTCATTTGAAGGCATTATCATAAAAAAATATGTGTAAAAACACCAGTATCAAGTTTTCAGGCTCTTATGTCTTTCTCGTTGTGTTTTTCTCTCTTTGTGTTTCTCTCATTCTCTTTATGTTTTTTCATCTTTATCTCTCACTCTCTTTCTCAGGAATGGTTTTTCAACGTCCCTCATCAGAAAGAATGAGATCACCTCCCAAAAAGAAACGGTCACAACAACCTCGACAATCACAACAGCTTCAACAACATGCAGCATGAACTGCCAGAGCTTCAGTATTCACAACAAACTCAACAATCACAACAAGAACAACAAAGAATGGAAACCGAAACAATGGGGGAGCTGAAGGTGAGAATCAAGAAAGTGAAAATGTTGAAACAGAAACAATTGATAGTCAACAAACAAGTGAGGCACCAACAGCAACCAGCATAAGGGATAGAATGCAGACCAGGTCAAGTATTTCTACACAGCAAGATAAATAGTTATATTTTTACTCATCATCTAATCCATGCTTTTCCATATACATAAAGAACTAAGATTTTATAGGAATTTGATGACCGAAAGATGATTATGATGTTGGATGTAAGTTAATGTTAGTACTAACTCTGAGTATGAGTTTTAATCAATTTCAACCTGGGCCTCTGACTTGAGGTCAATTTATCTATACAAGTACTCAATCAACTCTTCTATTCTCATACGATTTTTAGGTTTTAACTCACAAAATCAACATGATGTTAACCAAGAAAGTGGACCTTCAACCAGCACATCACAAAATCAACAAAATTTACTAAGTGAAGATGAAGATGACGACGAGGACGAATACCATGAAGGTTATGCGGAATTGATTGCAAGACAATCACCTGGGACAAGCGTAAGTTTATATTTCTCATAGCAAACTAAATTCTTTAACCATTTCTCTTTGATATTTAATTAGGAAAGAAAAGGATGTATTGTTAAATACCGAAATCTTTCTTTTGCTCGAACAACCGTGTATGAAATCATTGAATACCAAGGTGAAGATTACTATAGAAATGAGTATAAAGATGGACGTTCTAGACTATTCTCTAAACCCCACCCCCATTTTCGTTTCCGCTTCTGAGCCAGAAGCAGAGGGTTTCATACTACTTTCGTCCATAAATCTGTGCAAAAATTCAAATAAATTGGTGGTTTCATTATCAGATGCTTGAATGGTCTAAACGTATCAGTCTCAAAAAATTTCGTAATTCGTATCAAAAGTAGCGGAATTTCCCTGTATTTTTTTGCTTTTAGACTAATTCGCGATCAATTAATTTGTATTTCGAAGGATTAATATGAGATGAATAAATTTATTACACGAAAGATTTTGACTTAGAATGAAGTACTATTAATAATATGGATCTTAGTGAGTCTTAGATTTTTATTGATTAGATGGGTTTACAAAAAAATTGACGTTAAAATATGAAACTGTAATGAGAATAATTAAAGTTAAGTTTGCTTAGCAAATGATAAGAAAATTTGTTCTAATGTTGTTCCAGTTAAAGTAAAATCTTCAATGGGCAATAATCGTTTTGCTTCATCTAAACACCTCAACATTTCACCCCAACGAAGTGAAGTGTCCGTTATATGATAATGAAGAATAGTTTGATGAACATCTCTCAAAATGGACGAAGGGAATTTCTCGACCATCCATCTTTTAATTTTATCCAATTGTGATTGTTGATTGGATTGGACAGATTGATTGGATTGTTGATTGGATTGAGTCATTTTAATTATCAATGTAAATCCAAGTCCAAACTTTTCTTTTAAATGTTGAGATGAACCAAGACACTTGAAATTGCCTCGAGCCATTATACCGATTCGTGAACATAAGGCTTCACATTCATCCATAGAGTGACTGGTTAGTACAATTGATGATCCACTTGTATCACGAAGATGAATCAATGTGGACCATATTTTCCGTCTCGATGCTGGATCTACACCTGTGGTTGGTTCATCCAAGAAAATCACCTCTGGTTTAGCAATAGATGCAATGGCCAATGATAATTTCCTCTTATTACCACCACTTAGATTCTGATTACATGTGTTGGCGAATGAAGTTAAATCAGTTGATTCAATTATATAATTTACATTATCCTTTACTTTACTTTCAGGCATTCCCCTGATTCGTGCAAATAACATTAAACTTTCCACTGGAGTTAAATTGTCAAGTAGCGCATCAAATTGTGGACAATAACTTATTGATTGTTGGAAATTGAGTAAATCTTTTCGCAATGAATATCCTCCCACATAACCATCTCCCGAAGTAACCATAATATCTCCAGTTAACATTCGGAATGTTGTTGTTTTACCTGCACCATTAACACCCAACAAACCAAAACACTCTGCTTTATGTACACCGAAAGTAATCATATCAACAGCTCGAAATGAACCAAAATCTTTAGTTAAACCATCAACAATTAAAGCTTCATTTCGTATTCCATTTGAACCAATCAATTGTTTTACTCGATCTCTTTCTCGTACTACATCTTCATCTTCAACACCATTTTGTGACTTTCGTTTTCGAGAAAATAATTTCCTTACACAATTGTAGCAATATTTAAATCGATGAAAATTAGCATCAAGAAGGATAAGCAATAATGTATAAACAATAGCGTCAATCATAAGCATGATTATTTCAGTCCTTATTCCACGATTTCCAGTTGATAAAATACTAAATTGCTTGTAACTCAAATCAGTTTCACAACAAAATATTCGAGAGACAATATTCCCATGAGTACAAGCACCTTCACAGTTTAGCTCTAAAGTTACAGAGGAATACATTTTCGAAAGTCCAAAAGAGGCTGCGAAGGGTGGAAATAAGCATCCAGCTCTCACATAATCGGCTATATTTTCATCCTTCAACACCGTCATGTAAGATGCTAATCCTGAACCGACAAGAGTACCAATGAGTGAAATCGCTCCAATTAATGAAAACCCTCGATCAGGTTTCAAAGGTAAAAATGAGAAAATATAAAATAATGGGATCGATGCGAGACCAAAAAGTACCATTAAAACGAAGAAAGATGCTGATTGGTGAATGGAAAAGAAACATATACATGTATGATGAAGGTATAGATAATCTCTCATGAAATTAATCACTTACTAGTAGCCTGAATCGATGCCAGTAGAGTTTGATCAACAAGCATAATCGAAATGAAAATAACAATTGTTACAATTAGATGATAAAAGAAATCGAAAGTGTAATGACTTAACCAAAACATCGAAGGGCTTATACCGTTCATTTTCTGGATTAAATTAAACTAAGAAAAAGAATTAATCTTAAACGATCTTATGTATATCTGATAATATTATTAATAACTACCAACCTTATTCTGAGACTCGATTGATGGAAACAGGAAGTAAGTAGCAGCGATCAGACAGAAGCCAATGGGGGAGAAAACGGCTGATACAGCTCTAGTCAAACCCATTGCTAAGAAAGGTTCAAAAGTATGTCGATTGGGCATCGATTTGTAAGTTACTGAGACTTTGGACTGATTCCGTTTTCCATCACCAAGACTACGTATCAGTGCATTTTGCCAGGCACTGATTGACAACGGTAGAGATAAGGCCGCTTTCGGGTTAAGCCAAGCAGCGAATCCTCTTGGTTTCGATGAATCTTCAATAATACCAAAGATATTTTCTCTCATGAACTGTTCACGATTTTGGGAACTCGTTTTAAAATAATCATCTAATGAAATCGAAGAGTTGATTTCAATCACTTGGATTCCAGATTCACTCATAATTTGGCGATAAGAATCAATAAATGGTGAATAATTATTAAACGAGGCTCGGATTATGGACTTAGCATCAGATCCATAAAACATTTTAACGTCCATAGGTATTGGTTCAGGATAATCATGGTCTATATTTACAATTGCGTTCTTAGCACCTCGAGAAGCGAAAAATGTAAAGAAAAATAATATCGCTGGGCCAATGATGGAGTAGCCGATTGTCTTAAAATGTCGTTTGGTAAAATGAAAACGTTTCATAATTAACCCTCTTGATCTTTGGATAATTAAGGATAATCCAGTTGATTTCTGATAGTCTTGTATCTTGTCCACTTCAAACAATTTATCCTCCATTGATATTGACATCTTTCTGCCTTCACCATCATTTTCAGTAACCTTGATGAAAACGTCTTCAAGCGTTGTTAACGATATACTATAAGAAGTAATGCCAAAAGAGGAAAGGTCACCGTCAAGAGATTCGCATAAATCCATAAGAGAGGATGATGATTCTTCGTCTCTGTTTGAACCGAGCTGAAAGATGATCTCTTGAGATGTTTCACTGACTTTTTCTGCAGATTCGAAATAGCTTAGAATCTCGTTTGATAATTGATCAGGATTATAAGCATCTGCGTCTTTCGCGATTCTAATTTTATACCCAGCTCCGAATTGTTTCTTAAGAAACATCGATGATCCTGAACATTTTACTTTTCCTGAGCCCATGATAATTATACGATCTCCCAATGCATCAGCTTCTTCCATAAAATGAGTTGTCAATAATATTGTCAAGTCTTTTCTCAGTTCTAACAAAAGATCCCACAATTGTCTTCGAGACTCTGGATCTAAACCTGATGTTGGCTCGTCGAGAATCAATATTTCTGATGCCGTCGAAAGAGCCAAGGCCAATTGAAGACGACGTCTCATTCCACCCGATAAATTACTGGCTAATGTGTTTGATTTTTCTGTTAAATTTACTCGTTTCATATTCAATGGAATTAGTTCTTTCTTGACCTGTCGACTTAATCCTCGAAGTCCACCGCAAAGCTCTAGATTCTCTCGAACAGTGAGATCTTCGAATAGTAAATCATGTTGAGGACACAAAGCGAGACATCGACGAGCAGCTACCGTATTCTTATGAACATCAATTCCATTGACATAAATGTTACCAGACGAAGGTTTTAATATTCCAGTGATCATGGACATTGTGGTCGTTTTACCAGCACCATTATGACCTAAGAGAACAGTTATTTGACCCTTGTAAATATTTAGATCAAGTCCATCGACTACAAATTTTCTAGAGCTAAATGATTTGTACAAGTTCACACATCGAATTTGTGAAATTAAGTCTACTGGTTCACTTTCGTTATTTTCATTTGAACTTTCACCAATTCTTGTTGATGCTGAACCAATTTCTATCCTTGTGTATGGAAAAAATTGAGAAATTGGAAAATGCCAAGGTTTGGGTGTTCCATTTTGCCATGGCCATACAGCGTCGAGGTACCAAATCAGTACAATGTAAAGGAACCATGAAAAGATTGTTATCAAATAGATTAACCAAAGGTCTAAGGTATCGGACATTCCAGTGGATGAGAACACATGTGCCCATTTAACCCCTTCTTTGTCCAGACCAAGATGAAAATGTCATAAATTGAAAAGAATACTTGACCGCTGGGCTGTAGACTAGCCCAAATTTTGGGTGACATCCCGACTGTAGCAGCTGATGCATGAAATGGTAAATATGCTAAAATAACTCTTACGACGACAACAACCAGCATACCGATGATTGGACCAGAAAGAATTGGGGTCATGGCAAACGAGAAAAGGATTGTGGTCACACTATTCGTAACATAATTGAACCAGAATAGACTCGGATTCCAACCAGAAAATGGGTTCTCATCATGCATCGAGTAAAGAATCGTAATTATTGTTCCATGGAAAACGGAAAGTAGCCAATAATTGATGAAGTGTGACAACCAATAAGTTAGATCGCTCAGTCCCATGATCCTCAATAGCTCCTTTGTATTGGTACATTTTTCTTGGACAATCCGACGAATGATCAAAGTTGACAAGAAAAGAAATCCAATCTCAATATAAACATAAGATTTATAAAAGGGCAAAGAAGTGACTAATCTACGAATTTGTTCAATAAAATAATTTTCATGCGAATTAGTCGTTCGATCAATCAAAGGGTTACCCTCATTGAACAGTTTAGTAGTATAAAAGTACTGAAAATCTTCAGTAGTCAGATCATTATGATTCGGATAATAGGCCAATAAAATATTCACAATCGATTGTGCTCTTATATAATCATCGTAAGTTTTATAATTAGGTTGACCCCATGGTCGAGCATAGTCGATCGAGTGACCACCTACAATGTAAGATACATTCGCTTTCTCAGGGTCAAAATAGTCGAAAAAAAGAGCAACATTATTAACCGATCCACTCACGAACGGTATCATCATGACCGTTCCCCAAGCGTAAATCACTTGGTCCGAAGTATTAAGTAACAATGTGTCTATGTCACAAGTGTAATATTCTGGAGTCCAAATTTGACTGACCACTGGATCACGGGAGGTATAATAAAAGGTCTTTGATTCATAATCACAGATGAAAGTCTGATTGAAATAATGGTCACTTTTGGAGTCCATATCATCATGAGAGGTCATCCTCTGGACTGCTTCTCCTGCGATGTCTAGAAGTTCATCTTTTATATTCAATTGAATAAGAACACATAAAATGGGAAGAAACAATTCAAGTAGAGTGATTATAAAATGTCGTTGTCGAACCAGTTGACCTTTGATCAACATCGATCTCAACTGAGACCAAAGTATCGAAACCATCGTTAATCAATCGACTGTTGGAAAAAAACAATCAGCTAATTTTTTGTTCACATCAAATATTAATTTTTGATTTGTAGATCTAATTAATTGTTACTTAAAAGTACGCATAGTGTGAAGATAATATTAATTGTTGAATTAATTATGTTTTGCACAATTAGAATATTATTAGTTGAATTTAGAAAAGGCTAGAGGATAATAAAGTCTCTTTCGGGTTTTTTCATTTCTTACTTTCTCGACTCTTTTTAGCATTTAAAAAGCTGATTAGTTTGTTTCGAGACAGTAATCATAATACTTGATTAAATGAGCTTTTAACTCCATAAAATTATCAGAATAACTCATTGCGATGGAATATGATTGATCTTGGTAGATCTTAAATGTTTATTAATTAAATGAATTTAAAAAAAAATGATTGATGTCGATGAATAAAACTGTAATGAGAATAATTAAAGTTAAGTTTGCTTAGCAAATGATAAGAAAATTTGTTCTAATGTTGTTCCAGTTAAAGTAAAATCTTCAATGGGCAATAATCGTTTTGCTTCATCTAAACACCTCAACATTTCACCCCAACGAAGTGAAGTGTCCGTTATATGATAATGAAGAATAGTTTGATGAACATCTCTCAAAATGGACGAAGGGAATTTCTCGACCATCCATCTTTTAATTTTATCCAATTGTTGATTGGATTGTTGATTGGTTTGGACCGATTGATTAGATTGTTGATTGGATTGGACTGTTTGATTGGATTGAGTCATTTTAATTATCAATGTAAATCCAAGTCCAAACTTTTCTTTTAAATGTTGAGATGAACCAAGACACTTGAAATTGCCTCGAGCCATTATACCGATTCGTGAACATAAGGCTTCACATTCATCCATAGAGTGACTGGTTAGTACAATTGATGATCCACTTGTATCACGAAGATGAATCAATGTGGACCATATTTTCCGTCTCGATGCTGGATCTACACCGGTGGTTGGTTCATCCAAAAAAATCACCTCTGGTTTAGCAATAGATGCAATGGCCAATGATAATTTCCTCTTATTACCACCACTTAGATTCTGATTACATGTGTTGGCGAATGAAGTTAAATCAGTTGATTCAATTATATAATTTACATTATCCTTTACTTTACTTTCAGGCATTCCCCTGATTCGTGCAAATAACATTAAACTTTCCACTGGAGTTAAATTGTCAAGTAGCGCATCAAATTGTGGACAATAACTTATTGATTGTTGGAAATTGAGTAAATCTTTTCGCAATGAATATCCTCCCACATAACCATCTCCCGAAGTAACCATAATATCTCCAGTTAACATTCGGAATGTTGTTGTTTTACCTGCACCATTAACACCCAACAAACCAAAACACTCTGCTTTATGTACACCAAAAGTAATCCTATCAACAGCTCGAAATGAACCAAAATCTTTAGTTAAACCATCAACAATTAAAGCTTCATTTCGTATTCCATTTGAACCAATCAATTGTTTTACTCGATCTCTTTCTCGTACTACATCTTCATCTTCAATACCATTTTCGGATTTTCCATCTGATGATAGTCTTGCACGAATTGATTCGTACCAATATCCAAATCGATGCAAATTCATATCCAGAATTATCAATACCAATGTGTACAAAACAGTGTCAACTATAAGCATAATTACTTCAGTGCCAATTCCACTATCACTCATGGTGAAAATAGTAAATCGCTTGTAACTCAGATCTTCGTTGCAACAATATTGCATAGAGACATGATTTCCATTGGGACAAGCATCGATAGTCTTACAATTGCTCTCCAATGTTGTAGCAGCATAAATTTTTGAAAGTCCGAAAGAGGCGGCAAATGGTGGAAATAAATCTCCAAGAATAACATGAAGAGATTTGACTTTATCAAATGCCAATAGAGATGCTGCTAATCCTGAACCGACGAGAGTACCGATGAGTGAAATCGAGGCTAATAATGAGAATCCTCGATCGGGAGTCAAAGGTAAAAATGAGAATAAATAAAACAACGGGATCGATGCGAGGCCAAAAAGTATCAATAATACAAAGATGGACGCTGATTGTTTAAGGAATTGAAATGATATAATTAGAAGGTAATTTAAACATTTGAAGGATTAATTAACTCACCGACAACCTTGAATGCAACAAATGGAAATTGATCAACAATGATAATCGAAATGAAGATAACAATTGTTACAATTAGATGATAACAGAAATCAAAAGCGTAATGACTTAACCAGAACATTGAAGGTCTTATACCATTCATCTTTTGGATTAAATTGCACTAATTATGAAAAGAGAATTAATCAAATAAAAATAAGTAAATAAATCATCTAATATCGAATATCAAAGTTACAAACCTTATTTTGAGCTTCAGTTGAGGGGAAGAGGAAATAAGAAACAGCGATTAGACAAAAAGCAACGGGTGAGAAAAGAGCTGATACAATTTGGGCGATTATCGATTTGTAATAAGGCTCAGTAGTATATCGATTGGGCATCGATTTGTAAGTTGCCGTCACTTTAGATTGAGTTCTTTTTCCATCACCAAGACTACGTATCAGCGCATTTTGCCAGGCACTGATGGACAATGGTAGAGATAAGGCCGCTTTCGGGTTAAGCCAAGCAGCGAATCCTCTTGGTTTCGACGAATCTTCAATAATACCAAAGATATTTTCTCTCATGAACTGTTCACGACTTTGGGAACTTGTTTTAAAATATTCATCTAATGAAATGGATGATTCAATTTCGATCACTTGAATTCCAGATTCGCTCATAATTTGTCGGTATGAATCAATAAAAGGTGAATGTTCAGCTAACGATGCTCGAATTATTGCCTTAGCGTTAGAACCATAAATCTTTTTCAAATCCATTGTTATTGAATCAGAATAATCGTGGCCCTTGCGTCCAACGACACTCATTGCATTTCGAGAAGCAAGAAATGTAAAGAAAAATACAATTGCAGGTAAGATGATTGTGAATCCTATTGTCTTGTAATGTCGTTTAATGTAATGAAAACGCTTCATTATTAATCCTCTTAATCTTTGCATCATCAATGATAATCCAGTCAACTTTTTATAATCAAGTATCTTATTCACTTCGAACAATTTGTCTTCCATTGAGATTGTTGTTTGTTTACTTTCACCTTCATCCTCTGCGACCTTGAGGAAAACATCTTCGAGTGTTGTCACGGAAATACTATAAGAAGTTATACCAAAAGAAGATAAGTTATTGTCGAGAGTGTCACAAAGACTAATTAGAGATGATGTCGATTTCGTTTCTGGATTTGTATCTTTCTCGAGCTGATAGATTATCTCTTCAGTTGTTTCATTCAACACTTCTGCAGTTTTGAATTGACTCTTAATCTGATTCGATAGTCGGTTAGGTTCAAATGACCATGTGTCTTTCGCAATTCGAACTGAATATCCGGCTCCGAATTGTTTCTTAAGAAACATCGACGATCCTGAACATTTTACTTTTCCTGAGCCCATGATAATTATACGATCTCCCAATGCATCAGCTTCTTCCATAAAATGAGTTGTCAATAATATTGTCAAGTCTTTTCTCAGTTCTAACAAAAGATCCCACAATTGTCTTCGAGACTCTGGATCTAAACCTGATGTTGGCTCGTCGAGAATCAATATCTCTGATGCTGTCGAAAGAGCCAAGGCCAATTGAAGACGACGTCTCATTCCACCCGATAAATTACTTGCTAATGTGTTTGATTTTTCTGTTAAATTTACTCGTTTCATATTCAATGGAATTAGTTCTTTCTTAACCTGTCGACTTAATCCTCGAAGTCCACCGCAAAGCTCTAGATTCTCTCGAACAGTGAGATCTTCGAATAGTAAATCATGTTGAGGACACAAAGCGAGACATCGACGAGCAGCTACCGTATTCTTATGAACATCAATTCCATTGACATAAATGTTACCAGACGAAGGTTTTAATATTCCAGTGATCATGGACATTGTGGTCGTTTTACCAGCACCATTGTGACCTAAGAGAACAGTTATTTGACCTTTGAGAATATTAACGTTCACTCCATTGACAGCAAACTTTTTCGAACCCATAGAACCAAATGATTTGTACAAGTTTTTACATTGAATACTTGAGCCTAAATTTCCTGGTTCATTTTCATGGTTTTTATTTGAACTCGATGGGTTATCATTTTCATCATTCATTGCTGAAAGCGATTCAATTTCGATATCCATTGTTGCAGACGAAAAGAATCGAGAAATCGGAAAATGCCAAGGTTTAGGTGTTCCACTTTGCCAAGGCCATATCGCATCGAGGTACCAAACCAGCACTATGTAAAGGAGCCATGAAACGATTCCCACCAAATAGACGGACCAAAGTTTTAAGGACTGGTCAATTTCAATTGATGAAAATATTTGTGACCATTTGACTTTATCCTTTATTTCACCAAAATAGAAAATATCGTAAATCGAGTAGTGTAATTGACCACTGGGCAGTAAACTAGCCCAAACTTTCGGTGAAATCCAGAGAATATTTCTTGTAGCTGTTCCTGCAGCAAAAGGTAAATACGCTAAACCAGCTCTACCAACAATAACAACTAATACACCGATGATTGGACGTGTAAGAAAAGTGGTCAATGTAAACGAGAAAAGTATTGAGGTGACACTGTTCGTAACATAATTGAACCAGAATAGACTCGGATTCCAACCATGATAAGGGTTCTTATTACTGAAAATCGAGTAAAGAATCGTAATTATTGTTCCATGGAAAATTGAGAGAGTAAAATAATTGATGAAATGTGAGAACCAATAAATTAGATCGGTCAGTCCCATGATCCTCAATAACTCCTTTGAATTGGTATTCTTTTCTCGGACAACACGACGGACGATTAAAGTAGACATGTAGAGAAATCCGATCTCAAGAAAAACATAAGCCTGATAAAAGTCAAAAGCATTGACTAAATTTTGTGTATCATGATTAAGGTCACTTTTCCTTGAATTGTTCAACGAATCGGTTAGAGGATTACCTTCATTGAACAATTTCGTTGTATAAAAATAAGCGAAATCTTTTGAGGTCAATTTTTGTTCATTCGGATGATTAGCCAGTAAAATATTCACAATCGATTGTGCCCTTAGATAATCATCATAAGTCGCATACACAGGTTCGCCCCATGGGTCATTGTAGTCGATTGCTTGACCACTTACAGTGTAGCTAGAAATACCTTTTTCGAGATCAAAGGAATCAAAGAAAAGAGCAACATTTGCGGAATATGATTGTTGGGTGATCTTATCGCCCCAGGCTTTAATCACACCCTTTGTTGTATCAAATGACTTCGTTAGCAGGCCACAAGTCCGATAATCTGGAGCCCAAATCTGGTCAACCACTGAACCAGGAGAAGTGTAAAAAAATGACTGACCAAATGAGTAGCACATGAAAGTTTGATCATAATAATAGTCAGAATTTTCCAAATAAACAGGAGCAGAAACGGTCAAAGATGAAACTGAACCTTCCGATTGGAAATGTTCAGTCTGAGAATCCGTTGTATAAATATGAATAAGAACCAATAGAATCGGAAGAAACAATTCAAATAGAGTAATAATGTAATGTCGTTTTCGGATGAGTTGATCTTTGATGAACATCGATCTCAATTGAGACCAAAGTAATTGTGAATCCATTGTAAATCAATTGATTGCTGGTAATAAAAACAGAAAACAGTTTCAAAAAACAATCAACTAATTTGATACATGGTATAAGTTTTTTATTTCAACCACCAAACTTGTGAATGAATCAATATGAAAATGGTTTAAAATCAAAACCTTGTTAATTGTTGCTCATGCGGATGGAAAAGGTAAACAATTGATAACAATTACTTATTGGATTAATCTGTGACTAATATCAAGATTAATTGTCGATAAAAATGAATTGATTAATTTGAAGATAATCAATTGTATTCTCAATACAATTGCTTGTTTTTTTGTTCATAGACAATTAAGTTAAACGATTCACTTAATTATCTCATATTGAATTGATTTCTCTGAATTGGAACTCCCATCTAATTTATATCGACCAATATACTGTTCAGTAAGCGATTAAGGTTTAATCCATCATGGGATATAAGTTAATCAACCAACGATGATTATAGTTAATCAATTTACTGAGAAAATATAAAATTCTTTGGTAATTTGTTAATCTTTTGCATATTCTTTCATTAACTAAATTGTATTACTTTTTTAATTGTAACAACATCAGTTAATCAATTTGGATTTTGGTTGATCATTGATTTGATTAGTGGGTGTGTATACTCAATAGTAATGAGTGATTAAACCTTAAATGACATTTAATGAGAGTCTATTGATTTGTATCATTCTGTTAATTGACAATAATTAGGGCTAATTGTTATGTGAATATAACTTTAATCAGCTAATTCTAATTATAATGATTCATCCAGTAATTGATGAAAATCAAAAATGATTCTGATTATCAATGTCTTACTTTTTTCTTGTTGAAAATGTCACAATTTAGTTACAAGTTAATTGATTGATTGATGAACATCGTCGTTTATTAAAAAAAGCTTTGATTATCAATGAAAGTATTAACGAATTGATGAGAAAAAATAATAAATTGTTACAAGATTTTGAAAACAATCAAAGAAATGAGCGTGTGAAACAATTAATTAAATGAAAGACTAATAAAAACTTCCAACTGATTAAATTGTTAGCAAATTAACAAGAACGAAGAAGAAAACAAAATGTAGATTGTTTGATTTTCAGTGAATAGAAATTAATTTTCACTTGGACAAGATTATTTTCCATTTGTGATTAAGATTTAGAAAACATCTTCAATTCTCCAACTAATTGTAGAATTAACAGTTAATTGTGATTATTTATTAATCGAAAAAATGATCAATCAAAATTGTTCGATTCTATTTTCGTTTTTACCGCTGAAAGAATTATTTTGAATGCGCAAGTTGCGAAAGAGAAAAAGAGATTGAGTTTGCTTTTTTCTTTTTTCTTTCTTTCTCTTTGTCTTCATCATCTTTCTCTTTCTTACTTTCTAATTCTCTTTCTCTTCCTGTTTTTCTGGCTTAATCATGATCAGTGGGCGTTAATTCAGTTGATTTGATTGTTGTTTATACCTAAACTTAACCCTTTCAACTATTGGCCCTTTTAAAATAAGGTAAGAATTAAATTCCAATTAGGTGAGCTTTAAATTTCCATCTCTTTCTTTGCCTTTCTCTTTCTCTGTTAATTTCTCTCTTTCTCTCTTCTCTCACTCTCTTTCTTTATTTTCATTTTTCTCTCTTACTCTGGGTTAACCTTTTACTCTCCATCATAGTGTAACCTATTGTCATTTTATTCTTGTTGTTATCATCTTTCTCTTTCTCTACTTCTTTCCCTATCTTCCAATTCATAATAATAATAATCACTCTTTCAGTGTTGTCAATATTATATGTAAGCTTTTTTTTTCTTTCTGACCCTGTTTATCTTTATGTTCTTTTTGTTTCTCTTTATCTAATTCTTTCTGTTTTTTTTCTATTTTTTTCTCTCTCTCTGTCTTTTCCTCATATTCTCTTGATTCACCTTGCTGTATTTTGGATTGATTTCTGGTCTCATTTGCAGTTGTGACTTACATTTATCCATCACCAGTACCACTAAACCACCAAGAGATAAATATCTTTGGATGATGGAGAAACCTTTTAGTGAAAGTGCTGTGGCTGGAGATTTCTCCCGATTGAATTCACTTTATCCATACACTGATCTAAGTGAGCTACCTTTTTGTTGGTCAAACAAGGACAAGGCAAACTTTATCTCTCTTTCAGATGATAATTTAAAGGTTCACTATAAGGGTAATGGAAAGAACAATAAAGATGCTGCCTCCGTTCGCACTTCCATACCAATACCTTCTAGCTGTTTGTTATACTACTTTGAAATTAAAGTTTTAAGCAAAGGTCGTGATGGTTATATGGGCATTGGTCTGGCTGCTCAAGGTGCTAATATGCAACGATTACCTGGCTGGGATAAGCAATCGTATGGATATCATGGGGATGATGGTAACTCTTTTTGCTCATCGGGTACTGGTCAACCTTATGGACCCATTTTCACCACTAATGATGTGATTGGTTGTGGTTACAATATAGTTGAGAATAATTGTTTCTTTACCAAAAATGGTCACAATCTGGGTATCGCTTTCACCGATTTGCCAAATATTCCCCTTTATCCAACCATTGGCCTCCAAACTCCTGGAGAAAAGGTTACTGCTAACTTTGGTTTGGAGCCTTTTTGTTATGACATTGAGGATGATCTTAGAGCATTAAGACAGCGAATCACTTCAAACATAATTAACCATCCTGTTAAATACACAGAGTGGCAATCTGCGATAAATAAGCTTGTCCTTTCCTGGCTAATACATAACAGTTATTGTTCCACGGCGGAAGTTTTCTCCTCTGTAACCAAACAAGAATTTAAAGAAAATGTGCAACAAATTAAACAACGTCTTAGAATACAACAACTTGTTCTGGCAGGAAAAATAGAAGATGCCATTCAGTTGACTAACAAATTATACCCTGATGTACTTAATGATAATCCAAACCTATTGTTTGCTCTCAAGTGTAGACAATTTGTTGAAATGATCAGTGAATCTTGTGGTAAAAAGACAATTCAGCCTCTGACATCATCATCTTCCTCTACAACCCTATCATCATCAGAATTAATCAGCAACAAATCAATTACCAACACTTCTGGAGACTTTAAATCATCATCCGACTCAACCTGTACAACAAAAACAATCACCAAGACTCAAAGTGTAGCTAACAACAACAATGCAACTAACCCATCATCATCATCATCATCATCTTCTTCTTCATTAACAAAGACAGCTCATCCATCCAATTTGATTTGTTCGCCTTCCTCGTCTTCGAATTTACCCTTTTCTTCCTCATCATCAACAGATTTTTCACCTTCTTCCACCAATATGACTTCCAATCTTGAGACAACATCAAATAAAAACAATATCAACAACAACAACAACCTAAATACAACCACCAATAATAGTGTTAATAATTGCAAATCAAATGACGCCGACGCCATTACAGCCAACTACAATAACAATTTAAACACCAACACTATTAACGCCACCAGTAACAATAGTAACAATAACATCACAACCACAAATGGCCTGACAACAAGTGATTGTAATGGTAATTCATTTAGTGATAAGATGGATATAGATCATGATGATGAGCCTGAAGACGAAGAGTCAAGTAGTAGTAACAATATCAACTCTTCAACCTCAACCATCACCAATAATAACAAATTACATTCTAATACCTCAATTAGTTGTACCGATGAAATTTCTAAAATTGAAGATGATCCTGTTGCAGAAAATAATAGTAATCTTGATGATGCATCTCGTCTGTCCATGTTGATCAATTTTGGTCGAGAATTACACAAATTGTCTAAACAATTGAAAAAGAAAAGTGGTTCCAATGATCAGAATAAAAAAATGCTCCTCCAAGTTTCCAGTCTAATGGCCTACAGTGATCCAACCAAATCACCCATTGCATGGCAACTTAATCCAAGTGAAAGGGAGCATGTTTGCCAACAATTAAATAATGCCATTGTAATGAGTGAACTTGGCGGCTGTAATTATCGTCCACCTCTAGAATCAATTGTAAAGCACACGAAATCACTATTGAAGCTCAATGGTCAATGTGGAGCCTGGTTGTTAGATCAGCTATGAAAATCAATGATCATATTATATTGACAACTATATATCTCTCTCTCACACACACACATCTCTATCTACTATCTCTTTCTTTCTTTCTTTCTTTCTTTCTTTTACCTTCATCTTTTTCTCTTAACCTTCTTTCACTCTTGTTTCTTACCTTATAAAAGGCATAGGCTTAAAAATGAAAAGAAAAGAAAATGGAAACAAATTGTCAAACCAACAACAACTGATTGCATTTCAATTGTCAACAATATCATCTTGTAATTCAGTTCTTTGCTGAAAAAATCTCTACACGATCACTTTCTGCTTCCTCTTCGAGTCCCCCCTTTCTCTCTCTCTCTCTCTCGCTTTCTATTAATCCACTCTCCTTCTTTTCACACTCCACTTTGAACTCATTGTCCTCTATCGTTTTTCTTATACTCATCACTAATTTCTTGATTATATTAGGTAAATAATGTTCTCTATTCATTATTATTCATTATTAGTCTTAACAGAAGAAAAAGATACAAAAATAAATCTGAATATTCATTTTATCATTCAGCTTATCTCCCCACTTTCTCTCTCATCCTCAAAATGATTAAATGACCTTAAGAGCAACAATTAATTGTAATCATTGAGTTTCCATCTAATATTCAGCAATCACCAGTTAGTTTTTCGTCCTTGGCCTTATTACAATTGAATAAACCTTTTAATAAGCTTTTTCATTATATTTAAATGTTTGTTTTTCTTTTGAAAAAGTAATTTAATTTTTGTTTCTGATTGTTTTTCGATGATTTTGTTTCTTTTTCTTATGATTGCAAAAAATTTTCATTATGTTGAGACTTTAGTTAATTACCAGAGGAGATTATCTGTTGTTAATTACATTTCTTTGGGATATAAAAAAAACACAATATCTAAATGTATACAAAAATAAAGCTTTTTCTTTGTGATTATTGAGATGAAAGACAATTGTGTTTGTAGATCTTCATTTGGTTGACATTTTCGTTTCTTTGGACGTTCGATTGGACATTTAGTTTAAACTTTATCACCCGTTTGACCATTTAAATTGAGAATTTGGGAGATCTTAATGATAAACTGGTCCAACTTTCTGATTATATGATTGAAGTTGTTTCCCACTATTGGCTTGACTTGAAATTTGTTTATTGTGCATTTACAATATACGATCTTTGAATTTGATTGAGTTGCGGGTCAATTTTAACACTTTAACATGTTAATTTGTATAATGATGATAAATCATAATTCTAATTATGATTAATGTTCTGGCTGGTTAGTTTTGTGTGTGTTCACTGCTCGTATTTCCAGAGACCGTAATTTTTACCAACAACCGTTTGCCACAATCTAATTGTTCCATCTTCACTGGCACTTGAATAAAGTTCACCATCAGGAGAGAATCGGATACAATGTAATGGACCAAAATGTCCCTTGAAAGAATCTAGAGTTAGAAAAGAAGAGGGTAACAATTAAAGAGATTGTTGAGAGATTAATTGATTTAATGAGATGAAATTACCTATTTCTGTTCCACTATCAAACTTATATTTGTACATAGTAAAATCTTGACCACCGCAGACAAAAACATCCTGATTGGGTGATAAGGTGGCCGTGTAAACCTGAGTGGGAATTGTGTATTCCTTGATTTTGGTGAAAGCGGTTAACTCATAAAAAGTAACAGTAGATCCTGAGGCTACTGTAAGTAAATTACGATCCCAGGAGAGTTCAATATCATTTGGAACATTAGGAAATTCTATTCTGTAAATTTCTTTGGAATTTTTAAGATCCCATATGCGAATTGATTTATCCTCAGAGGCAGAAATCAACCATTTATCATTGTTGAGAAACAGAGCTTGTCTAATTGATGCAGTGTGACCAGCGATGTTGATTGGCTCTATTAATTACAATAATCGGAAAGAGAGAGAGAGAAAAAAAGGTAAAATTAATGTTAATAAGGGAATAAATTAATCTTATTGGTGTCCATGAATAACCATCAACTCAGTGCATATAATTAATCACATAATTAAACTGCTAAAAAATAGATTAGCTTATTGACGTTTGTAAATAGTTGACTTCGCACCAGGAAAAAAAAACAATTGAATTCTATGAAAAATGAACGTAAAGTAATAACTGATTGTGACTCTGATTGAGTGAATAAAAATTAAATTCAAATAAACTGTGTTGATTTTTTTTTGAGTCAATACAAAAGCCATCGGAATAACAATGGAGGAAAACAATCAACTTACCTGAAGTTAACTGATTTAAGTCATAGACTCGTAGTAGCTTCTCGTTTGAGGCAGTGACAAGTTTTGTATCATCTGAACTGAAAGAAACCGATTTTACGATGTGTCGGTGAGCAAGTGAAGCTATTTCAGTACCACGAACGGAGTCCCAAAGTTTAGCCGTGAAATCAGCAGCACCGGTCACCGCTCTGGACGCGTTACTATTAAGAGCAGCTCCCCAAACGGCTCCTTTGTGTCCCTCGAATGTTCCAATCCAATCACCTGTTTCACCTTGTCGTAACATGGGTTTACCATCTAATCCAGATAGAGGTGAGAGAAGAAAAGAAAATAATTAAATTCCATTTAGAAAAAAAAATCAACACACAAGTAGAAAGAAGAAAAAAGAAAATGTCAAAAGAAAAGAGAAAACAAAAACAGAAGAGAAAGAAAAAGCAACACAGTTAACGATTTAAATAACAAGAAATTCGGGTTAACATGCAATTTAGGATTAAATTGAGATGATAAAGAAATTAAATTGTAATCAACAACTGTAATTGTAATCAACTTACCTTTACAAGCAGAAATTAGGTAATATTTACCATCATTAGTTATTCCACTGAAATTAAGGAAAACCACTGGTCTAGTGTGACCTGTACAGGTGAGAAAATGAGGTTTAAGTGACATGATGAAGAAAAAGATTAATTTGTAAGAAAAGAGGATTAACAAAATAGAAAAAGAATAATTTAATTTAATTTAACTTAAAATACGTCAGTTGATCAAAGAAATGTAATCAATATTAACTTGAGTTGATTCAATTTCTTAATAAATTTTGTTTTCTTTTTCGTAAGTATAACAAGTCTATTTGTCCATCAAATTATCTAAGAATAGAATTAATTTTTTTTTCTCTTTTGTTTTTTTTTCTTCTCCTTGACAAGTTAACCCCTTTTATCCGAAATTGATTGTAATTGGTTTAATTTCTTTTTGATTTTACATTAATTTCAATAATTCTTTAGCGAATCAACAATCTTTACTGAATTAATTAATTCGTCTAATTGTGATAGTCATGAATGTAGATCCATGAAAGATGGAAATTGAAAGAAACCGTTAATATGGAGGGAAAATTTTTCTATGGTAAGTATTGAGTTTCCAAGGTCTTTTTTCAAGTCTTCATTGTTTTGATTAGTTTTCTTTATTTCTTTTCTATATAGAGCCAATCGAATTGGTAGTTGTTGACGAAATATTTGATTGTTTGGATAAATACACTGGTAAAATTTACGTCAACTTGGCTTATAAATGTCTTGGTGAGAAATTTGTTCCAAAATTGATAACAATCACTTTTCCATTTTCTTTCTAAACTTGAATTTGGAAAACGTTACCTTGGAATTACAATTCACTCTTCCATTAATTGGTAATATATATTTTGGTCAACTGTTTGTTTCTCTTGTGATTATCTATGTTATCGATAATTATTGTCAATTATCTTCTCTTTCTCATATTTTCAGGTTCATATTCCTATCATTTTGCGTTCAATTTGATCCTTTTCGTGACTTTTCCGGTGTTTTTTCCTTTCTCGAATCATCAATGGTAATTGATGAGATAACATGGAAACAGTTAATAAAGTATTAACTATCTTATCTGGAAGAACCTTGAAAAACTCATCATCATCTTACCCTTTCATAACCCTTCACAATTATCATCATTGGATAATCACATAAATCAGAGAAACCGCTATCATTTAGTAAAAGAAAATGGTTGATGTGACATAATCAACAACAACAGAGGAAACTAATTAAAGGATAATCAACAATCATAGAAAAGCTCGAAAACTTTGGACCAGTAAATGAAAAGGATTAATCTCAAGACTAATTGTCCATGAAAAAAAAGAAGGAAAAACATCACCCATGACAATTAATCTATATTGTAGATTATGTCAAATCATGTGAGTTTCAATACCTGCATTTCCTGTTATTAATTATAAATAAGTTATATCAGAAGTTTCCAATAATTATTAGTTACAATTGTTCAGGAGAATCAGAAAAGATAAAGTTTTCATTGACCTTGCCATTGACTAGAATTTACTATCAACCATTTTCTATCAATTGTATTATTGATAATCAAAGTCATTTAGTATCTTAGTTATAATTAACTTAAACTTTAGACATTTAATTACCTTTAATTTGAACACTGATATTATTTATAGATATTTTATTCAGTTATATGAGTCAATGTACCCAATAAGTTAACATTGTTACCAAACAATTAATTTCTCTCGGTGTGTGTGTTTTATAAATGATTATAATCTATTGATTAACACTTTCTTTTTTTTAATCATTTAGCATTTTTGATTATAATCGGATAAAATAAATGAATAATTCGTAGTGGTGGTAATATGGTATCGACGGAATAATATAATTATCATAATCTAAATTAATTGCAAGTGTAAATTATGCTTGATCGTTGTACCCTTTGAACCCGTTGATTTTGCTTAAACTTTGTAATTGGTGCAATCACTCATCTGATTAAGGTCATAATCAAAAAAAAGAAATCAAATTTATCAACTTTACAATCAACTTTTTTATTGGATTGAGATAGAGAAAAATTGTTAATTGTTTTTTTCTCAGTTAATTGTCGTCAGCTGAGCCTTTCATTGTTTATTATTTGATTCTTTAATAGGCTCGAATGACGAAGATCCATCATCATGATTATGATCATTATATATTGTTACCATTTAATCAACCAATCAATCATCATGATGATCAATATTATTATTGGGGTTGTTAAATAGGGAGAGAGAATCTCTTTCTTTTTCTCTTTCTTTTCATCCATTTTGTTTTGTTTTGCTTTTGCAGAGTTGGAATGAAATGGATTAAAGACTGATTGTTAATTATCATCTAATCAGTTCTATTATTTAGTTGTCATGGTTTATGGATTCTTATTTAAACATAAATCTCATCTTCTTTAAACCAACAGAATCAATTGAGACACAATCAACTAAACATAAACAATTAATTCAACAACAACATCAACAGTTTCTTACAAATTAACCTGTTGATAATTCACAATCAAATCATGTCCACATCAATTACACTGATCTACACTCTTAGCATACTGATTGCTATTGTCAACTGCAGAAGTGGTAAGTTAATTTAATTTGTTAATTATTTGACTTTTTCGTTAAATCTATTTTTCTTATCCTTTTCTTATTTAGTTAACACACCAAATGTTTGTAAACTAGAACCACAATCAGGTTCATGTTATGGTTTAAATGAACGTTATTATTTTAATGGTGAAACTGGAAGTTGTGAAATATTTAATTACGGTGGATGTCAAGGTAATGGTAACAATTTCATGACAATTGAAGACTGTCAATCAATGTGTTCACCGATGAAACGTTCAATTCGTGAAGTGTCCGAAACACCTCAACCTTCACCCACCAATGAAACGATTGAACAACAACCACAACAACAATCACCGAATGAAACAATCACATCTCCACCAGCTGAGCCAATTGTCACCACATCTAAACCAAATAATCCTGAGACAGAAGCACCAACCCCACCCAAAACAAGGGAAGAAGTTTGTTTCCAGCCTTTCGCTGAAGGAAATTGCAAAGAAAATCTAATTCGTTACTATTATGATCCCGAAAGTAACAAGTGTAAAAAGTTCATTTTCAAAGGATGTTTTCAGTACGATAACAATTTCGAGAAGTTAGAAGACTGTGAATCCCTTTGTGTCGTTCCTACACCCTCACCTCAACCTCCACCACCCACAAGATAAACACTGAATCCCAACTCAATTCCACCCTCCATGTACATCTCACCTCAACCTTTTCTCAATCCATGCTGATTAATTCAATTGTCTTGTAATCAAATGAACGACATCCACAGTTGATTACATTTAGATTGCTTTTATTATTTATTTTGTACCAAATCTTACAAACAGCAAAAAACATACTCTAATTATGTTTTTACTTAATTGTTGTCATCACCATTAACCATTGTAAACATTTCGTTTTTCAATCATAATCACAATCATGTCTTTTTTTTGTAATTAATAAACAGTTTTCAATATAATTTTCCAATAATTACCAAACTTATTTATTTGCAAGATTCAAATTGATTTCCAAATAATATCTAAACTTTTTCTTTGATTAAATTACTCAATTTGGTAATTTAAGTGAATAACAATTAATTTGATTGATGACTCAACCAATTCTATCTCAATTTGAACTAAATCATAACAATTAGAATCACGTTAATGAATCAATACCTTAATCAGTAAGGTGATTAATTATAACAATCATTTCCAGGTTTGTTAATTGTTACACTAAACATTGTGATTTAATTGTTTCCCCTTGATAACTTTTTCATTTGTATTACAATTTTTTCTAGTTATCTGATTAATTAAACACAATTAGACAATTATTGTATAACAATTAATCATTACAATCTCAATTGACCTATTGAAAAAAAATGTAATGATTCAGTTTCATATCTTAATCAACAATTTAGATACAAAATGTTACAAATATATTGATAATTTGGTATAATTAATTGTCAATATAATTAATTATTCATTTGAATTTTATCTTAATCTAGTTTATTTGCACCAAATTAATACTTTAGCACAATCAACTGATCATCTAACGAAAGTCAAAATGAAATTAATTTGCCTTATTGCGACAATTAGTTAATTATGATGAGCAAAAGTCATCAATTTATTAACAATAATCCAATTAATTAATCATGGTGAAAGTTCAATCAGATTCATTTGTTAATCTCTATTAAGATGTTTTATAAATTAAGTTGGTGATCAAAGAGTAATTCAAGTTCACTGAGACTAAATTGTTGATCAACAATTAACCTCTAAATTGTTAACAATCAGGAGAAATTTATGAGCCCATGAAAATCATATTAATTTGTTAATCAATTAATCAATTAATCAATGAATGGTCAAAGAACCAAGAAAACTAATTGACATCATTAGGTTTCATTTTTGTTAACAATTAACTTCTTTATTGATAATTAACAATTAACAGGGATGATTTGGTTACAACAGGATTTATCTCGTTGGGGAAAAATTATTACAATTAATTAGTTGTGAGATAATTAATTGATTTGATTGTTGATAATTGAATTCACATGAATATAATAATACAATTAATAAGACAAGAGAAAAAGGGGAAATTAATTTGATCACAATTAACTAACTAAAATTGGATTAGAAAAAGTTTTTTTTTTCTTTATCAATAACAATTTATTATTAATTAACTCTGGTGAACTTCAATTATTTTTAGTTAAACAATTAATCAAGGACATTGTAAAACTTTATTACCGCATTTATCTTGATAAATTGATTTTAATTGTTCAATTATTTAACTAATTTGGATACAAATAAATTGTTGAACAAAAAAACTATGTTTATATTATAATAGTTTTAATCTTGATCCAATTGTAATTATATTTAGACGTATGAAACTTGTGATTGAATCTGATTAAAGATGAAGATTAATCAAAAGTTACAATTTAGATTTTGTGATAAAAATACAAAACACTAATTGTAATTAAAGTGCCTTCGTAAGCAATTAGCTTGTTAAGTGACTGTCAATCAAATGTTAGATATCCGGTTGTTATCATAATTAATTGTATCAATTGAGTTGATTGATTTTCGGCATTAAAATACTAAAAGGTTTAAGGTAAACGATACACAATTAAAAAAGTTAATTGCAATCAATTGAAGTAATTAAATTAGTCTTGTGATGAGTTAATTGTTTTATTGTTGAAAAAACTAACAATTTTTATTGTTTACTTTTTGCTTTTGTCAGAAACTTGTTCAATTAATTGTAATAATTCAATGGTTGGTTTGATTTAATCATTATTTTGTTATGATTGCAATTTAGATTCATTCTAGATTGTAATTGTAATTGTAATTGTAATTGTAATTGTAATTACAATTCAAATTTTCGTGAAAATCATTTTCTCTTTTGAAATTCGCGCTTTTCCAACAAGTTCACTCGTACATTTAAAATCAGCTGATTATGTAAACATTTGACAAATTGTTTGACTTTAATTTTGTTTTGCTAATTGTTTCATATTTGTGGTTTAATTTCATTTTCATTGCAAATGTGCAGAAATTGATGTTTATTTGTTAGTCAAATAGATTTGAGTTCAAGAGATGGACAAGAAAAGGTTTGTTGATTATTTAGCTTATTAATTGTCAATTTTCATGATTTAGTTTTTGTTTACTTTTTATAAATTGATGTTTATGTTTAACTTTTTTTTTATTTTTATTTTCAGAGATAATGATGAAGATAATCCATTTTCTGTCGTTGCCAAGAAAAGACCAATAGTTGAATCTGGACCAGTTCATGTTAAGAAACCTCTTATATCGGTGGATGCTGTAAGTTGTTAATTGTTAACTTGATGCGTTCACATGTATAATCATCGAGTCGATTTAATTGTTTTATTTGCTCTTTTCTTACCCAGTATACCAAGCATAAGATGTTAATTAATCAATATATGTTGGATACTGTTGGATCAACCAAGAAATTACAGCGAGATACGAGTAAAGATGTAACTGATTTAGATGTACTAAAAGCGAATCATAAATTTCTTTGGGATGAAACGGAACAGACGGACAAATGGTAAACCAATTTCCATCGTTGATTAACTAATTGCTTACCTGATTATCTAAATTTTTCCTATCTTGTTTAAAGGCAAGTTCGAGTAGCTAAAAAGTATTATGATAAACTATTCAAGGAATATTGTATTTCTGATCTAAAAAGATATAAGGAAAACAAGGTAAGTAAATGGAAAAGTTAAATTATCTCTCAAATTGTGATTATCATTTTGTTTATTGAATCAATAGATTGCTCTTCGCTGGAGGACAGAGAAAGAAGTATTCAAAGGGAAGGGACAATTTACTTGCGCTGATCTTAATTGTGAATCGAAAGATTTATTGAAAAGTTGGGAAGTTAATTTTGGTTACATTGAACATGGCGAGAAAAAAAATGCTCTCGTAAAGATAAGTAAGTTTTTTTTCGGTGAATTGATCTGCTAATTGATTAACTAATTGTTTCCTTTTCTCTTCAGGATTGTGTCCAGATTGTTCATATAAATTGAATTATCATCACAAAAGGAAAGAAGTTAAAAAGGCTCGAAAAGTGAGACCAAAAAAGGAGAAAGATTCAGAAGACTTACCCAATTCATCCAGTCTACCTGATCAATCAACATCGACAAGTGAAACAATTAACACTGATTTTAGTCAAGTGAAAGTAAAACAAGAGGAAGATGATTATAATATCATTTGGAGTTCCAATCAACCCCAACAATCAACAATCGAAACAGAATCAAATATTGAAACAGAAATGGATCAATATCTATCTGAGTTGTTTATGTAATCTCATAAACTCAATTTGTACATAATATTCAACTTTTACAGTTAAGCCCCAAATTAATTTATACTCAATTAAAACAGAATTGAGTTCGCTTATTAACAACCATTTAGTAAATTACTCTAAAAAGAGATACAAAATAACAGTATTGATTAGTAGAAGCTAAAATTGGTGATATTTAAATGTTGAAGTTAACCTTCAATTTGATTATCGATAGTCATTTTATTCAGGATCTCGGGTAGTCAAGTTTAGGGAATCGTTAGTCCATAATAGTTTAATCTGAAAGTCCAAGTCGAAGCCATTTTCTTAATTTACCTGGACCAGACCATCGACCACTAAATTATGAATCCAATGAAAGTTCATTACAATTAGTGAAAAAGGATGATCGTTTCAAATTATTTACCAATTTTTCGTCTACTTACGTTACATGTAAAAGCCAATATAATAGAGGCATTAGATGAGTTTTCACAATGAACATTGATCGTCTTTCTTTTCCTTGATCAATTGGAAAAGTTTCTTTCGGTTTTAAATCGTAATCAAATTCAGCAAGAATACATTTATCGTAACTGGTGATTAAAGGACATGAAGTGTACCCATCGTACTGAAATAGATAAATAAGAAAGTGATAATAAATGAGTAAAACTGATCAATCGGCAATGAATTTCCATGGTAATCTGAGTTTTATCGTTAATCACCTTTAATGAAGGTTTTCGACCCCCAAGCACATTAACTAAATTCCAGAAAAGTACATCCGATTGACTGGCCACTGCTGCTGCTGTTCTTGAGGTCGGTAAATTGCTACAATCACCGGTGGCGAAAATATTTTCATATTTAACATGTTGAAGTGTCTCCTTGTTAACATCGACAAAACCAGATTGATCAGCAATCGGGGCTAAAATCGGCGACGGTTTTTGAGGGGGTGTAATATGAATCATATCATACTATTGTAATAAAAGAGCGATAATTATGGTTAGTGGTTAAATCAATCATGATTAAATTATCAATCAGTGATAATGGTTAGTAACAATTGAATTGGTCGCTCTCACCTCGAATGAAACTTTATCTCCAGAGTCAAGATGTTCAAAAATAGCAACATTTTCATCACCTTTAATTTCAATCAAATTGTGACGGAAATTGGTTTGGATTCCTCTGTTAGCGACAACTTTATTTAAACTTTCTGCGTATTTGGGAACAGCAAATATCCCTGCACCGGCTGAATTGAACATTATCTTGATATTATCTCGTCTTCCTGTCTGAATGTGACAACAGAAAATAAATGAAAGCTTTGATAATTTCGATGTCGATGTGGATTAGTTTACCTTTCTCCAATGATCATCGGCGAGGTACATAATTTTCTGAGGAGCTCCAGCACATTTAATTGGAGTATTTGGAAAAGTGAAAATCGCATTTCCTGATTTAGTGGCCTGAAGACATTTCCATGTTTTCTCAACAGTATCAACCGAATAATTAGAGCAAACATTGTCTCTTTGTAGAGCATCTTTAATCCCTTTGATTCTCTCAAAATCCAGTTCGATTCCAGTACAAACAATCAGATAATTGTAACGAAGCTAAAGATAAACAAATTGATAAAAAGATAAATGTTGTTAACTTTTAAAGTTCATCTTTTGACAGATTAATTTTTAGAATAAAAACCTTACCAAACCTCTAGATTCTAATCGGACACAATTTTCTTCCGGAATAAATTGAACTGCTCTATCTTTTAATTTGACGATTCGTAGATTTCTGGTCAAATCGTCCATTGAACTACGAGAAGACTCAATTCTCTTAATTCCAGCACCAACAAGAGTCCACATTGGCTGATAATAATGGAACTGGAAACGAGAAATAAACGAAAAGATTAATTTACCAGGTAAACCCACAAAAATCTGCAACAATTAACTAACCGACGAAGGTTCAATTAAGGCGATGTTTAATTTCTTATGGTAACGGCCCATTTTCCAGGCTAAATTCATACCAGCAGTTCCTCCACCAACAATTGCGATGTCAAATGTTGCCGGTAAACGACTTGAAACATTAGACAAATATCTTACACTTGAGAACATGATTAATAAGATGACAATAACGTAACAATAATCCAAAGTAAAATCCAATCAATTTCTCAAAATGAAATCATTTGAAATCATTAATCTCAACTTAAAATTGAAAAACAATCAATTTGTTGTGATGATGATATTTTTTTTCTCTCTCTCTCTTTCTCTGTCTTCATTTTCCTCTCTTTCTTTTCCAAATTCCTTTCTCTCTTTCGCATCTCTCTCATTTCCTTTTCCTCCCTTTCCACACCTTTTTCCTTTCTTCTTCTTTTCTCTCTCTTTCTCTAAATTCCTTTTCTCCTTTCGTTTTTCCTTTCTACCTTCTCTTTCTTTTTTCTCTGTCTTTTTTTCCTTTCTCTTTCTTTCTCGCTCTTTCTTCAATCATTTTACCTGAAGGTTGGGAACCGATAACAACAAAATTACCATTTTTGTTTAGTGCTTTCTTTTTTGTTGTTACTTATTTAATTAATTTATTTAATTGGTTAATGAATTTCTTCAAATTGATTTGAACAATTTAAAGGTAAAATGATTGATTCATTTTTTCTCTTTTCTTTTTTTTTTCCTCCTCCTCCAATTGTCTCCGTTCTTACCACAACTGGTGCCAGCTGTGGTGGACATTCTTGTCCCCTTCCATTTAATATTATTCTAAATAGGTTAACACCAGGTAGCCTGATGTTAACCTATTGTTATTAATAAAATATCAATAAATATAATATTAAATTAGTTCGAAGTAGTTCCATTAGTAATTTCAATTACTAAACCTCAGCCGTCATAACCTTAGCCATTAAACCTCAGTCGTTATAAACTTAGCCATCAAACCTCAGCCACAAGAATATTAGCCGCCGACTCTTAATCGCCGAATCTTAACAGACTAATCTTAATCAATTGAATCTCAGCCATTGAATCTCAGCCATCGAGTCTTAACTACAAGAATCCCAGTCATTTAATAGCCAGAAATCATATTAATTCAATTATAATTATTGTTAATAACCTTCAACCGTTAAACTTGATTGAAATTCATCATCATCACCAGAATCTCATCACCAGAATCTCATCACCAGAATCTCATCACCAGAATCTCATCACCAGAATTTCATTACTAGAATCTTTATCACTCATCGAACTAACCAGGTAGCCTGATTAGTCATCTTTATTTATCTTTATATTATATTTTATGTAAAAGGTTACTTAATTAATAAGGTTACAATTCTCAGGTTAGAAAATCAATTATGAATATACAGTAATTAATTTAATAGTTAATCAGAAAATTAATTTAGGAAACAACAACAATTAAAGTTAGACCATTAATTATCGGAAATCGTTAATAGTTAACTCAGTAAAATTACAGGAAATCAAATCAATTAACCAATTTAATAGTAATCAGTTAGTTAAGATTCACAGGGTAATTAAATAAATCAATTAGTATAAAGTTCCCATGAGAATCAATTTCATCGATTAGATCAAGAAAATTCGACATCAGTATAAAATCAAAAGTAAATCAATTAGAATCCTCAGAGTTAAATTTTCATTTGACTACTCAAGTTCACCTTATTAATTAATTAATCTTCTTTTTCTTTTAATTTGTGTTCAATTGATTTTCATTAATTCTTTTCTTTTAATTTGTGTTCAATTGATTTTCATCAATTCTTTTCTTTCTAATTTGTGTTCATTGATTTTCATCAATTTCTTTCTATTAATCCGTATTCTTATATTTTCTTCTTCTTTATTATATCTTAATCTCTTTATTGTTCACCCTCAATTATAAATCAATTATTAACTTGTGTACCCTTCTAAACATTTTATAAAATTATTACCATTAAACTTTAATTTGCCATATTTAAAACCGTCACAAAAACAAACGTGACAATTGGTGGCAGCGGTGGGATCCGCTTAGTGAAGTTATGGCAAATTCTAATCAACTCATCGAAATGTCAACCTTCCACAATAAAACCAGTGAAAATGATTCAACTCCTACTTATCGAGGTGCAACTAAACAATTTCTCCGCTTCTTTTCGGGTAGCCCGAAAGATCGAGAAGAACTCGATAGTTGGTTAGTTGAATATGATCGAAAAGCAACTCAACTCAAGTGGGATGACGAAGATAAATTCGCCGCTTTTGGATCGTTTCTCTCTTGTTCCGCAAAAATTTGGTATGATGGCTACATGGCCCCAGGAATCGAAGGAGCTCCATCAACTTGGTCTGATTTAAAGAAAAAGTTTAAAGATAAGTTTGCTCTTCCCAATTTTCATAATTATATTTGGTCACAGGTTATTCATATGAAACAAAATTCAGATGAATCAGCTGAGTCTTACATAACAAAGAAAGATGCTCTCTGTCGAAAAATTGCCCTTAAAAACGAAGATAAATTTATGCTAATCGTGGATGGTTTACTTCCGAATTTACAATCGTCAGTTAAAAATGTGCTCATTTCTCGACCTGCTACAAATATCGAAGAGTTGTGTAAGATTATTGAGCTTTGTGAAGAAAGTTTACGCTCTCCACCCGTTATAGCTCATCAAACTGTTACATTCAGCACTCCAACTATCGAAAATCCAATACAACCAGATGTCTCGACAATTTTAGAAGAATTGAATAAACTTCGAGAAGAAATAGCTAAATTGAAAAATACCTCTAATCAACCATTCGAACGAAGATCAAGTTTTAATCGAAATAATAATCGTAACTTTAATGGCCAAGTTAATTATAATAATGATAATAGAGATCGTACCGTTGTTGGTTGTCGTTATTGTAAAGAAAACGATCATGTTATTCAAGATTGTCCTAAATTAGCAAGACAGAGAGAACGTCAACAGTATGAACAACAACAACAATATCATTATCAACAACAACCAAGTCAACAACGAAACCAAAATCAACAACAAGATTTTAATTATCACCAGAATCAATCTCAAAATCAAAATTCTTACTTTCAACGTAATCGGTTTGTGCCAAATCAACCGGGTAGCCCGATTGATCGACCACAACCGAAAACACCTCCAAGATCCGTTTCACCTAAACCATCTACATCAGCTGCATTTACTTCTAATTGTATTCATCACCCGTCTCAATCATCTACACCCTTGAGTTGGCAAGTTGGTAAATTAATTGAAACAACTGTTTTAATGAATGGAAAACCAATTAAATCTGTTATTGATCCTGGTGCAATGATAACAATAATTGATAAAGAAACATTTAATAAATTAGACACACCTCTACAACCTTACGAAGGTCCAATCGTTTCAGCCGCTTCTTGTAACATCATGAAACCTCTTGGTCAATGTGAAGTCACTATCACTTTTGAATCTGGTAGAAAACAATCAACTGTTACAATTCTTACTATGGTTGTCGAATCATTAGCTGGATCAATTTCCGCTTTAATTGGTCAGAACGCTAACACACCTGCTAAAGTATTGGTCGATACTTATCGTGGAATCATCCTTTTAGATAATTGTCCAGATACTATTCATGCTGCTGAAGATACAGTTGTCCCTGCTCGATCTCGTTGTTTCATTGCTGTTGTCCCTGGACGAAAGAAACGAGTCAAAAATGGAAATTATCTCATTCAAACTCCAGTTTCTTGGGACCGAAAAGATAAAACAGTTTTGGCTAATGCAATTGTTAATTATAAAAATCAACCATGTTTAACTGAAATTTGCAACTTTACTGACAATGACGTCGAGGTCAAATTTGGCTCAATTCTCGGAACATTCGAAACTGTGGATAAAAGTCCAATAATCGACATGAATGATGATCATCAAGGTATTCTCTCTAAACAGATCTTTGAGAAAGATGATGATCTCACTATCGACATTGATGTCTTTGGTTCTGATTTCGATAAGATTAAAATTGGAAGTAACCTTGATGAGGATCAAATCTATAAATTAAAGAAACTTTTGGTTCATTACAAAAAAGTTTTTGCCTTAACAGCTGATGATATTGGTTTAACCAATAAATTTGTTCATTCAATCGACACTGGAAACGAACCTCCAATATCTGTCTCTCCATACCGACAATCTTCAGAAAAACGAGAAATAACTAATAAATTAGTTAACGAACTTCAAGAAATCAACATCATCTCTCCATCATCATCACCCTGGGCCTCACCGATCGTTCTCGTCAAAAAGAAAACAGGAGATTGGAGATTTTGCGTTGATTACAGGAAACTAAATTCAGTTACTAAACGAGATCATTATCCTCTCCCAAATATTATCGATGCTTTAGATTATTTACAAGGTGCTCGTTACTTTTCAAGTTTAGATCTTAAATCAGGTTATTATCAAATTGGATTAGATCCAAATGATAAAGAAAAAAGTGCTTTCATCACCACCGATGGTCTTTATGAGTTCAATGTCATGCCTTTTGGTTTATCTAACGCCCCCGCTACTTTCCAACGTTGTATGGATGTTGTTCTTTCAGGACTCAAATATAATTCTTGTTTAGTTTATTTAGATGATATTTTAGTCTTCAGTTCAAACTTTGATCAACATTTAGTTCGATTAGAATTAATTTTCCAACGTTTAATTCAAGCTAACCTCAAATTAAACATGTCAAAGAGTCTCTTTGCTTTACCTGAAGTTACCTACTTAGGATTCAAGATTACTAAAGAAGGTCAATTTCCTGAACAGAAAAAGTTAGATGCAGTTAGAGATTTTCCAACACCAACTAAATTAAAAGATGTTAGGGCATTTATTGCCTTCTGTTCCTATTACAGAAAATTCATAAAAAACTTTGCCACTTTAGCCAAACCCTTAACCAGGTTAACAAAAAATGATGTAGGTTTTCATTGGGGATCAGAAGAACAGAAAGCTTTCGACACTTTGAAATCAGCATTAATTAATCCACCAGTTTTAGCTCATTACAATTCTAAATTAGAAATAGAAATTCGACTGATGCTTCAGGTCAAGGATTAGGTGCAGTTATCGTTCAGAAATATCCTGAAGGTTGGAAACCAATTGCTTATGCTTCACGTCAACTTTCTAAATGTGAAAGTAATTATTCGATTTCAGAATTAGAATGTTGTGCCATAGTTTTCGCTCTCGAAAAATTTAAACCTTATGTAGATCACCAACACTTTACCGTAGTAACTGATCATTGTTCTCTGTGTTTCTTGAAAAATAAACGTAAACTCCCTC